TATATATTTTATTTGTTTACCCCCCTGTCCCACTCCATTCATGAGTATATACTCACTTACTCCAAAAGTTGTTCATAAAGCCATGGCAAGATTCTACAGTCGATACATTTCACCCATTTCTCTGAGGGTTAAGAAACTGCATAATGTTTGTGGTTTGTGCTCCCAAGGAGAATTTTAATCTACAGTTGTACCTTAACCTCCCCTCACCCCATCCATTAACAAAGGAGGAAAATTCTTATGACTTATCCCTCCCCAATTCATCGATAGAGGATGGCTGATGGACATGATGGCTGATGGTGCTCCCAAGGAGAATTTTAATCTACCTTAACCTCTCCCTCACCTCATTCATTAACAAAAGGAGATGTAAAATGTCTCCACCAGCGATTTGCTACAGATGTCGACCATTGACTGCCAACTGCCAACCCTCTAACACCATCCACAAAATACTATAACAAAAGGAGATAGACAGCAGTCACTTATTCCAAAAGTATTTCTAATAACATAGCCATAAAGAGATTCTACAGTAGATAAAGTTCCCATATACATATGTACCTCTGAGGGTGGTGTGTGGAACTGTTTACAGTTTGTGCTTCAAAGGGAAATCGTAATATGACTTATAAAGCTTATATATACTACCTCAGAGGGTCATGTTTGGAACTGTAAACAGTTTTTGCTCCCAAGAAAAAGGATAGGTATCGATATAGTGAACTGAATTCAACAATGTTTTTCTCTTAAACCAATTATTGAAAACATTCTGTAAAATAATATAATTTTGACCGATTGGCAACAATTTAATGCAAAAATATATATATTCTATATAACTGTTTTTGTTAACATTTTTTGTTTTTTTAGTGCAATTGTTTTTTTGGTCCTTTCTACCAATTCTTGAGAATGAAATGAAATGCCTCTCCGAACCTTGTTGGAACAAAATAGAATATACAACATTTTCTTAGACCTCTCAATGCTATAGTTAAACAAAGGAAACTTTGGTTGATTTTACAATAAGTATGCAAAAACTTTTACAAAACCCCCCAAAATAGATAAAAATTAAGTTCAACCTTTAATTTCATTCAAGTGTGCGCCAAAGTTTAATACTGCGCAGGCGCAGCATTCTCGCTAAACTATATAAAGAGATTACCAGGTACACGATTCAGAGGTAAGCCAGGAAGGCGAACGATCTTCGTCTCGTGATGATTTCCCGTATAATCGTAACCAGGGAAGTTTCACCATTGAAATTGAAAATTACTATTAGATATACTTTGTAGATGTTATTTATGAAACTATTTAGTATATGTATCAATCAAATGGCTCATTTTGGACATATAAAAAGTATTTGTATTTTGTTTCCCCGAGAATCGTAGTACACACATAAATAGTGTACATTATGTAGTACATATTGAATAGCCTGGTATAGTAACAGCGTGTTTATATAATATTGAAGGGCATGCTGATTGTACACACGAGTACATGCATGCTAGAAGGCCTAATTTTATATAGCTTGCATACCTAAATAAAAAATAAACCCTTCTAATCCCCTATACAGCGGTATACGTAGCCCGATTTATCGGAATCTTTAACAAGATACTTTTTTAATATCAACCAAACCTTCCTTTGTACGATTACAATATTGAGAGACCACACGTTGTGTTTATGTCGTTTTGTTCCAATGAGGTTTGGATAGATGTTTCATTTCATTCCGAACATATGATACCAAGAACAAAAGAAGTGGCTCATGTGTTATCTAAAACAATATAGAGAAAAGTATATAAATATATTTCAAATTATAATGTTACCATACAAAAGCTAACCACTAAATTGACGATATGTAAAATTTTCAGAATGTTTTGATGACTGGTTTAAGAAAAACGTGTATTCAAAAAGTTCACCATATCGATACCACTCCTTTGAAGATGACTTAATCCCCTTCTACTCCACTTTATCCATGAGCAAAAGGAGAAAGACAGAAATGATTGTTCAGAAGTATTTCTTATAATATTCCTTTTATATCTAAAAATGATTCTACAATAGATAAAGTTTGCATGTACCTCTGACTCTGAAGAAACTCCGAATGACTCCCCCTCCCCCCATTTCATTCAATTAATAAGGGAGAAGGACTGGACTTTTCTCACATATTCCAAAATTATTTCTTCAAATATCCCCTTTACCCATGTGCAGTTGAGCATAATTCAAAGGTTTGTGTGAGACCCCCACATGGGAAGTTGTGGAGGTTTTGACAAAACAAAGATTGAGCTGTCAAACTCAAATCATGGGAGTAACCTATTGAGTCAACCTCCCCACCCTGGAAGCAATAATAGAGAGTCAAATATAGTGAAAATTCCTATTATTAACAATATACTTTTGAAAGTCTCTACTCTCAGGAATGGTGCATAATATTTGAGAACGTATAATGTTCATGTTCACTAGGAAAATTCTAATTATGTCAAACTTTACATCCTGCACTCTATATTAATAGGCATTCTTAGCATGTACATTATTTTCTTTCGGCCCATATCTTTCAGCCCATAAATTCCCATCCTCTAGGTCTATATATAAACATTGAAACAGGTTTTTGACCCAAGAAATTTGTGTTTTATGACATTTGAGAAACATATTCATGAAGAAAATAATATACAAGGCAGGACATAAGTAGTCATCATAGAATTTCTGATCCAATTGTGCCACCTCCGCGTTCTTGTATTTCTAAGGGGTAGGGGTCAACAAAGCCATATCAAAAATACAAAATAGTACTTTATCATTACATTACTTACATTACAATGTCACACATAGCTTGGAAATGATTTTTGAATACTACTTGGAGCACTATAACTGCCTATTATTTCTCTGAAGCTGCAACAATAAAATCGGTAAGACTAAAAAGGGGTAAGGGGTAGGGGTAAACAAATCCATATTAAAAATACAAAATAGTACTCAATCATTACATTCCTTATATTACAATGTCACACATAGCCTGGAAATGATTTTTGATTACTACTTGGAGCACTATTACTGACTATTATTTCTCTGAAGCTGCAAAAATAAGATTGGTGAAAATAAAAAGATAACGAAACTATGCTTTTTATTTCGATAAATTATATTTTCTCCCAAACCAATCAACATATCTCCCTATAACTTTGGGAAACACTCGACTACAGTGCTAGTAACAAAATATGTATAAATCAGTGCTATAGTTAATGTATAACTGATTTTATAGAATGATAATATAGTACCCCCCTGAAATATTATTCTAGGGGGGTAAAACTGCTCAGAATCCTTCGTCCACAAACTAAAAAGACCCAGACATATATGAATTGATGCTAAATGAAGTCATCTTTCAGAAACATTATGTCTATCAAGTGGCCCTTGAACTTCCCAAAACCCATGCTATATCCTGGCCTAAGTGCATGCAACACAAGTAACTACTGTATTATGCTAAATTCTTTCCATTATAATGTACAGATGTAAAGACAACTGCAATAAAGTTTTAATAATAACAATCATAGAATAAATAAAAATAACAAATATTTGATGTACAGTCCAATTCAAAATTTTAAAAACATACTGTAGCTTTCTGCAAATATCATCATTAGCCAGGTAACTCTTCAAGTAGGAAAGAGGCTGGGATGACGTCCTACGATATAAATGCACAAATGAGAGACTTAAATACAAAGTAGAGTCCATTTCACTGCTTTGTTTCGTCAGTAGAACGGCAAAAATAAGAAATGACATTTGTATATCTTGGATTGCTTCTAGTTTGGCTTATAAAGTGTGTGGCCTCTTATATTTGGATGTTTCTCTGCCATGTTATTTTCAATAAGATTAACATGGCTGAAATTCTTCAAATTACGAGCACAGGCTTATTGCACAAAAACTAAAAAATCTGAAATATACAAATGTCATTCATGTACATTATGAATATACTTTTCCATATATTATTGCACAATGGTCTCCCAATTTCTTATTTTTGCCATTCTACTGACGAAATGAAGCAGTGAAATGGAATCTAGTATGGTCTATACACATAACACAGAAAGAGGCACCATTTTAAGCCTTGTATTATATGGAATTCTTCATACCCTGGTATATAAATGGAAGCCCTGGACATAAAAGCAAGCCACATAAAGCACCTTCTAAAAGTCTTACATCAAACTCTCTTGTCCCTCCTGTCTTCCCCTATCGGTTTATCAAATACATAGAAGGGGAAAGAAGGACTTGATACAGAACTTCAGATGTTATCTTTACAATGAGTAAGTATAATCTGCAATGATACATTGTATTTTTCAATAGCATTACTGAAAAATGCTCAAGGGATTTCACGAAGAAAGCTACAAAAAGAAATAAACTTAGGAACCCAACTGGCTGACTTAATTTGGCTTTATCTTATGTTAATCATAGCTCCAGTGTTAAAGATTACTGCACCTGTGATTTCATTCAGCAAATGTTAACTTAAATGTTAACTGTAGTTGCTGTGAAGGTGAACACTGCATTTATCTATTATGTTAAGAAACAAATCTTTTAGATCTTAAGGGAAACTAACGTTTGAAGTTAATTAGTTACGAAACAGTTGGACGGATAATATCTTCTGTCATATCAAAGTCCAATGAATATTTGTTATAACTGTTTCTTAATATCAACTGTATGGCATGGGGGAGGGGAGGGATAGTAAAAAGGTTAGGACCCCCAGATGTAAATGGTCATCTACTATAAAAGGATATTAAGATTATATTACTGATAATAAAAACATTCCATGACATATTCCAATGTAAGTCTATTGAATTATGTGCACAGATGTCTTCCTAGTCCACTCAATTGTTCTCTTTACGTCATAGATTGCATCACAGGCTTGTCTGCAACTACATGGTGTATTACTATGTGTATATGACTTCATCAGGCCACTGATATTCCATATAGACATTTCATTGAATCTAAATTGCACATCTATACCACATATATGGACATCCACATACTGTATATGGACATCCAGAGTACATCAATTTCATGTTTTAATAGCTTTCAGTTTCAGTGTCAATCAGGTCTCCATAATAAGCTGTTATGGTTTTCAGTTTCTGATTCAGCAAGTTCTGTTCTATTTCAACTTTACCTCCTGGCCCTGCCAGACTGGACAACTGGAACAAAATAAGCAAACCTACTGTTACCAAATACAAGGTATTAATAATATCGCAAATTGTCACCTTATAATTTTTGCAAATAGTTACAAAGGTAAACAATTTGTTACAGATGCCGAATGCTGACTACCAGCCACAACAGCTCCATTCAGTAGGCTCATATGGTGAGATATCTCGAAAATGAGGCATAAGTATTAGCTGGGACCAATGATGTAAATCGCCAGCATTTGTCCCATAAAATGGATACAAGCGGTGGTTCAGACATCATTTGACCAAAAACTGTTGAATCAATAGGCTCAGTGTTAGCCAAAAATGCTACAATAGTATATTTATTTATTTATTTATTTATTTATTTCGATCTACACTTTTGAAACAGTGGCACGCTCTGCAATGCAAAGGTGCGTCGAATGTACATATTAAGATAAAACAATTATTACAACTTACTAAAAACATTCATTTTGAGTATTTAATATAAACTGATTTTAAAAACCTTTTAAAACACTTGTCAAACATTCTACCTTGTTCTTTCCCCCAAATTTCAAAGACATCATCCCCTAACATGTATTTTAGCTTCTCCTCAGGAGAGAGAGAGATGAATTCAGCTACTAAAAGAGCGTCACATTTTGAAGTTATATCATTTATAAATTGTAACCTTTCATTAATGAACTTAGGGCATACAATGAATCGGTGAATTAAATCTTCAATGTCATTACTTTTACAATGAGGGCAAATTCCATCACTTTTCTTCCATCGTTTATTATCCTCCTCCAAGTTAAAGCACCCAGTTCTTGCCATGAATTTTAACCTGGAGCAATAGAAATCGATGTCATCTTGGAGGTAGTTCTCTTTAAATGTATGTTTCTTAAGAACAGTGTAAGTTTTCAGTGATGTTCTCTTATCTATAGCTCCGAAAAAATCTGTATTCTTCATTTCATTAGAGATTTCTAGGAAGGACTTATACCAAGTTTGATCAGTTGACTTTAAACAACTATCTAGGCCATGTTTAATTAGGGTATCAGAAATTGATTTAATATAGGGCCAGGATGAAATCTTATTATCTTCGAAACGCTTAAACATTTCCATAAATATATTTCTAAAAAGTGTACTTTTTTCCATGCGCTTCTGTAGATGAAGGTAATAATCTATTATTCTTTTGTCAATGGTATTCAAAATCGGACGCCATCCTAAATCACCAATAACCGCTTCCCTGGCAGGCTTCATATTTAGATTAAAAACTGATCTTCCAATGTTATATTGGAAAGAATTCATATCGTTACATTTGGATTTCGATTCAAAAGTAAGAATACCACACCCATGTAATATTGCTGGAATGAACACATTATTGTGAAGAGTATCGCCAAATTTAAATCGTTGTATATTAGAGTGCTTGTTTAGGGTTGTATTAATATAGAGGCTTATTTTCTTAGCTTTGGGTCTTAAAAGTTCCTTAAAATGTGCTGTATCACTTAGATTGTTACTTATAATAACTCCTAGGTATTTGTAGACTTTAGTTTCAGTGAGATTCAAATGGCCTAGTTTCCATGATGCATTGGGATTGATTTTTCGACCTACTGGCATTATTTTGGACTTTTTCGTGTCAAACTGAAACCCCCAGTATACAGAGAATTCTGTATACTGAATTCAGAATTAGTATATGTCACCAATTCTAACAAATTAAACTTATGCAAAACCATTAATAAAATAATACTTCAAATGACTCTTAGACCAGCTTCCTGTCAACAATAGAGTATTTTGCAACCTTCCACAAACGTGTATTTTTTACAGATGTGACATAAAGCTAGTTACCTGATCAGCATTTACGTTACGAGGCATAAAGTAAGCAATATTCTTCGTGATTTTCTCTGAAATTTCAAATATGGTAAATCTGGAAATTTGTTAAGGATCATACAACCAATACTAAACAAGGTCATCAAATAAAATATCCTGTTGTCTTTGTTAACAAATCATGATCAAATTAAATGTACAGTAAAACTTGTCTAATCTGAACACCCCTGGGATCAAATTTCGAGTAACAATGAAGCCTAATTAAAGTCAGATTAAAACATGTGAGCTGAAAATAGGACCAAAAAGATTCAGAGGTGTTCAGATAAGAGAGGTGTTTGAACTTATGGACATTAGAACCCTGACCACTTTTCTATTTCTACACTGAATATTGCATATGATTTTACAGTTATTCAGCTCTTGTGAAGAGCAGGCTAATCATGTTTTTTTTTGCATTAAAGGATACCCATTTAGACTAATCATAGTCTCTATATCAAACACCTCTGCCTCTAAGTAACCAGGGCCTCCCCAGGGAGGGCTCAGATAAACCACATCTGCCTTCAAAGATGGCGCTAGCTTCATATAGTCGCCTTCTATGAAATCGATACGATCTTCAACTCCATAGATCTTGGCATTGTTTTTGGCACATTCCAGCTTTACAGGGTCAATATCGATAGCAATGACTGAAATGAAAATACAAGATAATATTAATACAAGTTTTATATCATGCTTAGATTGTACGAGTATATGAAAGTTCTTGTAAAGCCACATTCATTACATGTCAGTAGTGTATATCAGGTTGATAAAACATGTCATTCCATACCTCTTTCACATGTTAAAGCAAACTGAATAGCATTTCCTCCAACTCCACAGAAAGCATCTATTATGACATCACACTCGCATCTTTCAGCAATATGTTTGGCAATTTTCTCAGGGGTCACAGAAAACCATCCCTCTGTTAACAACAAAAACAGAATGACCGCTTTAAATTCGTTGACTATATATTTAAAGACATTTTTCTTACTGAATTAGATTTTTTGTCTACTAGTATATTTTTCGTATCTTCCACTTATACAAAGTATTGTTTCACAGTGCGAATGGAAGTGGGTACACAGAGGCTAAATTGTTTATAAGTAACATTCTTACATTTTCTTGACTGCATAAAGAAAAAGAATGAGTTTGATTAGGTGATCAAAATAATTTTTTATATTCCATCATCTGTAAATACAAATTCAAATATTGCTTACTGTTTCTTATCAGGGCTGCAAAATAATTTTCAAATTATTGTCCTTACCTCGATCCAACTTGATTCCATCATCGAATTTTGAAAATAACCTGTATCTCTGTGCCCAATATTTCCTCAATTCGTCATCATCTGCGATATCTGAGGGCATAGGTGTCAACTGATACTTGGACGCCTTCCTTCGTCGCTTTTTCTTCGAGCTACCTTTCTTTGAACCTGATGATTTAACAGAGCCCTTATCATCATCTACTGTGATATGTTCTAGAGCTGTATCACCAATATTGTCACCAACTCCTTCAATTTTGATATCGCTTTCCTTATTGACATTATCCACATTTTCTTTGGATAGATCTGGTTCAATATTTTGTTTTGCTTCAGATGCTTCTGTATTTGTTTTGAACAGATCTACAGCAACAGGATCAGTCCCATTAGGAGTAACATCCTCCGATCCAGTCTCCATAGCAACATTAGCCTCAGGGGGTATGACATTTGTAGGAGTTTTCAAATAATCTTCCGGGCTGCTTTTCAAGTCATCCACATTTTTATGATCCCCACTTTCATTGGCTTTTGTGATATCAAGGAAGTGTTTCACTTGCGTCATAACTACGGGGGTACTGCCTAGGTTAATTTTGGATTTCTTCTTCAATTGTTTTTCTCTGTAAGTCACATGTGCAGCTTGTATCGACAGACTATTCCTGAAATATGAATTCAACACTGAATTTTTTAAAATGTTGCTACCTGGAACCAAAATTTTCATTTAAATTGGGGAGAAATTAATCCTTTGTCATTAAACATCTATTAGACAGAAACAATAATGCTTGTATTGTACTGTTGTAAGATTGGTCTCACTGTTTATAATACAAAGTAAGAGATTTCCCTTATTGACATTTGCATGTAACATGAGTGAGTTAATATTTTACATTGCACTATTAGGGTTGGAGGAAATATATCAAGGTATAAAGGCCCCCTGTATATATGGCATAAAAGGAAATATGCTCAAGGTTTACTTAACCGTATACTCTTAAAATATTCATTTAACTATAATGTATAAGGTATATCATTAAGTTTCAATTCTTAGTTATCTGATAAAGCAGTCAGTCTCCCATTATGGACATTTAATAATATTATCTGGCCAAGTCTACATACCTATTATGTCCTGGTAAGGTCTTGAGACCAATAAGATTTAAAGCAGAGTCCATCTTTGCTCTTTTGTTGCCAACCGTCTCAGCATCTTCATCCTCCTCACTTTCACTACTGTCCTCATCATCATCAGCCTCAATTGCATGACTGCATGAAACAATAACAATAATTTAAATATTATCACTTTTGCAAAACCATATAATTCAAGATGTAAAATATCTATAGGGTGATTGACATTATTTTGCAGTAAACACTTCATAAAAAACAATTGCAAGAATATTTTTAGATATTGCATTTTTGACTGATTTTTAACATGTTATTTCAAACTTGCACTTGATTACGCTAACAATGGGGAAATTATTGACTATACATGTACTTTTGCTAAATACATGTAGAATAATTGATTACTAAACATTCCTCAATTCATCACCAGAATCTTGATCCCTACCACTACTAGATTACCTGTTAGGTAGTTTTGTAGGCTTATCATTTGGTGGTTCCTCCCCATCCCCATTATCCCCATCCCCTGGTGTGCTTCCTCCTGTCTCCTGCTGCTTTTGGATCCCTGCAAACATATATTCATAACTGTCTTCATTCTTGAGTTTTTTCTGAATATTCTAAGACATTTAGATCTAAATTTTATAAAATTTTCTTTTTAAAATTCTACTGATGTTTAGATCTAATAATATAATTTAATCGCATTACAGTATATAAATATGCAATCGTCTCTTAAATGACATTAAATAAGACCAAAGAGGATTGTAATTTCGACATACATTGTACTCTCTCTCATATGCAGATGAATTGGTTTACAAGATTAAATGTGATTTGGTCCATTATTTGTCACGATAATAAAACAAATTAACGTCATTAAAAATTATCATCACTGGTGAGTCTTTCTGCTTCCTATCACATTCAATCTATTAAAATAAAAATTTGTCACAAACAAAATCTAATGATCAATATTTAAAAGAATTGCCAGGGGGCATTTGAGATTATACTTTTTTCAGTTTCGTTTTGTTTAAATCTAAAACATGATATTCAACTTTTCAACTCATTTCCCAACAGCATGTTTAGTTCCTGTTAATCTCAAATATACGAAACTGATGAGGACAAAGTTTTCTGGAAAAAGCTTGTATTTGCAAATGCAACTAACGCTTGTTGGCTACTGGAATAACCTACCATTTTATGGGCAATTCATTTAAATATGAAAAGTGCCTGCCACTATTCCATTCATAATTAAATGAGTTGGTATTGAAATAGTAAGCTAATCATGTAGCCTACAGGCATTAGATGCATTCGCAAATAAAATTCTTTTACAGCACAATTTTTCATTCCTGTAAATACAACACTTGAATTGTTACTTGTTAGTCCTACATTGTACATGCTTTCATATTTTATACCAAATAGGTGGAAGTACTCTAATTTAGATACAGTAACATGTCGGTCCTTTGAGATTTAAATGTGAGTACTTACTTTGTAGTGTAGCTGTTAAAGAATTCATCTGTTTTCTTCTGCGTCTCTGACGATTTCTTTTAGATCCTCCATCTGATGGTTCCTCTTCGCTGCTTTCTGATTGGCTGAACTCTAAATTAATGTCACCATCAACTGACTCCTCCGATTCTGTCCCATTATTGTCGCTTTGGTATGCGGAGTTTGATTCAAATTCACTAATAGCAATTTCAGACTCATTCACTTCAACTGCCATGGAGTTATTCTCATCAGTGTTCTTTCCTTGATGAAGATGGGCAAAATCTTTAATGTCAAGCATATCAGATGTTGTGTACGTAAATTCAGCGTCACATTCTCTGGGGCCTTGGTAGCCACATGGGTCCTTAAAGTTGTACCCAATAGGCGTGAAGCGATTTTTGGGAATTGGGGTCTTCCTTGAATCTTCACCGTCAATATCGCTGGCAGCAACTGAGACGGAAAATGCGGACATTTCACTTGGTGCTATTTCAGAGTCATTGATTTCAACAGCTAGAGAGTTATTCTCATCAACATCCGAGCTCTTAACATTGGCCTTTGAGTATTCCTTAAATCTAAATAAATCTGAAGAGTTTGTAGTAAAGTTACATTGTGGAGGTAGAGCATCTGATTTTCCACTGGTACTCATGTATTCGCTGTCCTCATTAACATCTTCTTTCCCTGCTTTACCAAACCATTTTCTGTATTGGTTGTAGTAGAACCAGTACACCTCAGTGTAGTTTTCATCCCATAGTTGTTTCCATTGATCATTATAAGTCTCACTTTGATCGTTTCCATCTTTAGCATTATCGCTCACATCTGCAGATGTATCTTCTACATGCTCCTCATCATCAACATTAGCCTTTGGAGAACCTTTGCAGCCATAATCGTGCATCATGTTGACAATTTTAACATTTTCTTTTGCCCTTTCTTCATCATTTGCTTTATAACTGTCCTGTGTCTCAGAGACACCATCGAGAGTCTTTTGGATATTCTGGTGATGTTCTTCATTAGAGGTTGTAGCTGCATCAGTTGCTAGAGTTAGATTCTGAAGTGAATCGCTGAGGTGTTGACTGGAAGAGTTGTCAGTTGTAGTTTCTGACTCCTCCGTTTGTTCGGTTGTAACAACATCAACTTCTGAGATATGTGCTGGTGTAATATGTGCGCTGGTATCTATCATATCCCCATACTTCTGAACCCATCGTTCCCATACAAACATCTCCCCATGCTTTGCCCAATATTCCTGGAAGCCTTCATCTGCACCCATACTAGCATAATCTGTAGCATCTAGCCGTAGGTACACTCCATCATCCTTACTCCCAGCGGCTTCATCAGCTTCAAGTCTGGGAATCTTAGTTTCAAGCCCACTACTGATGAGATTGTGATCACTTTCCCGATTACCTGCATCAGTAGTAGGAGCCCAGGGGCTTGGCAACGGAGCCTCGTGTACCTCATTCATTACCAGGTCAGATTTTGTTTTCCGTTTTCTTTGTTTACTTTTTCCCCGTTGGGCACCATCCTCAGAGGGACCAAATATAGAAACCTCAGGGTTAGGAGCACCCTGCAATGATAAAAACATAAATTCAAATGCAAATGTCGTAAAAATCCAAACTCAGTTACTGTAATAATTCAACATGCAAGGACAACATGTTGTGATAAAAAAGAATATTAATCCAATGGATGTGAAATAATTAAAATGCCTAAATATTATCAATTAAAAGCACCAAATTAACAATGTTTACAGTAAAATATTCTTTATACCTTCACAATGTCCTGAGGGGAATTCATGAACCCAAGAGGGAGTCCCATTTGCTTCATCAACTCCAAATCTCCATGGAACTCATCATGGAAAGGAATCAGGGGCTTATCTTTCCTCATATAGTTCAGTTCCTCCATGGCATCATCTGAGAGACTATCATAACCATCATAACCTTCAGGATCATGTGTGACACCTTCATCTCCTGAGTGAGCCTCCACATCACTGTCTTCATATATGGGCTTGCCCTTCAGTCCCCAATGTAAGAGGTATTTATCACTGGAAATATACACATACAGTATAGGTACATAAAAATTCCTGACAATTGATGGAACTGGAATATATAATCAGAGGAATTTAATACCAGCTTCTTGTACCAAATTTTCTCAGCAGAAGATATATTATTTGAATATTATTACATAAATGCATACATGTTGAAATAAATTACAATATTCAGAAGATAAATCATGGTTATCTTTGTTTCGAACAGAATTATCTAATTATAATCTTTAATATCAAATGCAACTGAAGTTGTAAGATGCAGAAATGTCGAAATTCATAAGAATTGAAAAAGAAGACATCTATAGGTAGGCCTGACATGGAATGATAACAGCAAAAAGAATTGCAGAATGGTGACTTTTTTCAAAACTTACTTTAAGCTTGTCTATATCCCTTTTAGTCCCTTTAATATAAACCCTATTTTAATTTTAAATAAAAAATGAACAATACAAAAACACTTACTGAATGAATGCTCTGGTGCAGTGGCATTCTATGTAGTCAGATTTTTGCTGACCCTCAATATAAAGTTTCATTTCTGCAAGACGACTCCAATGGGCTGACATCTTGCTTTTTCAGACCTCCCAATTTGTGTCACTCTTTGCCAGACTAAATAAGTGGCACACCTGAAGATGAGAGAGTATAGAGAGTCAGAGGTAGGTGATTTTTATGAATGTATGTATCGGAATCATCAAGAAATACAGAGCTAAAATTCCAAAGAGGCCAGACTTAGGCCATACCAAGGTCATATGTCACAACATGAAACTGTAGGTGTCCACCCTCTTTCAACAGTAACGAGACAAATGTCTCTGGGGAATAACCAATGGAATCATTGGAACGCCAAGCATAGTGTTACAAGCCAGATACAGACATGGAAGAAAGCCAAGAAAGTGTGCTGATGTCAACATGAGAAATCAAACCCAACAACCTCAGGTCCAATCCGACGGTTGTTGACCAAGCAACCAAAACTTAAATAGAGTGGCTAGCTACTCTAAATGCTGTAATAGCAACTTGCTATCGAGGGTGGTTCAATATGTAAAATAAACACCTGCCATTTACCTCTTTCAAATGCTTACTGATGATGATCAGAACAGCGTTTGGAGAAGGTCACTAGAGCATTGTGATGGCTGAAACTGAAATACTGAAATCAGCAGCTTAAACATCTCCAAATGTTCCCTCTCAACACCCTCTGTTTGCAAAAGTCTAAGTTATCAGCTACATCTGTGTCGACCAGGACTTGCCTTTATCTCAGAGTAGACATTTTCTAGCGACAAATCAAAATGGTGGTTTTGACGGAAATTTAAGAAGTAGCATTCGAAATCTCGGGTGATTCCCATCAGGAAGTTCAGCAATTTTTAAAGATCATTTGGAAATCCCTGGAGATTTTGAGTTGAAAACACTTCTTCATGAATCTTTGTCAAAAGTGCAATAACGACGCCTTTGTTTTTATCCTTCCAAAGTGCCGGAATGGCAGAAAAGAGGGACTCTGGCATCCCAGAATGCCATTTTGATTTCTCGCTAGAAAATATCCATTCAGGTACAAAAATAAATCCTGATCTACACAGAATCAGTTGATAACTTTACAGAATTTTATGGACGATATGAACATTTGTAGATATAAAGTATATATGCAGCTGATTTCAGTATTTCAGTTTCAGCTGTCACCATTCACTAAAATTAGTCTAGCGGCCTGTAAAGCGCGAGCAAAGGCTGTTCTGTATATGACCAGTCAGGCAGCCTTCAGAAGAGGTGACCGGACATGAAATAACGATGAACGCAACAAATTACATTTTGTCATGAACCAGTAGACAAGGAAGTAGGAAATAAGACTTGTAATAATTACTTTCATGTTCATGTTGTTTTCAAACAGTCATTTTATGATTTTTATTTGATGGAAAATTATGTCAAATGCTTGAATCATCAAATTACCTAAAATAAACATGTTGTACATGCATATCAATATTACAATTATACGTCATTTTAACAGCTTACCGTGGTTTATGTAGTCACACCATGCAAGGGAAATATGAGCGTAAACTACGATGCTTTTGTTTTGCACGTTTTGACAAAACGACAGTTCAGAGACATCTTTTCAATTAGGCCAAGGGAGCATTCAGTGTAATATTTTTAATTGATGATTAATTTTGATCATATCTACCATTTAGATTAAATTTAGATTTTTTTCAATTTGATATCATTTACCTTGATTTAAAACACGAAAACAGTCGCCAATCATGAAATCAACATCATATCTGCGCTTTGAAAAGTAGATTCGAAACACTCCCAAGTAGTCGGCCATTTTGGAATTTTGAAGGTCGGAATATTTTTGGTGAGAATTTTCATGATTTACTGTTTATATTGGTTAAGCAATGAGACGTAGATGCTTGTAAAGTATTGTCATATAGCTGGGTTATACGATTCAATAAATTTAGGTTGATATTTTCCTGATTTAGAAAATGACAACGCGTTTCTTATTTTGTGTAATTCTTTTTATCAGTTTTTTTATCAACCGAGTGGTGTCGAATCTCACGTGCATTATTTTCTGGGTTAGTTTTATGTGTGTTTTATTTTTGATTTACCCGAAATGTATGTATGTAGTATCTATTAATTGTGCATCATTCTAAATACTTGCTAAATTGGCTAAAAGGGAAGTTATCTAAGCTCTTCGACATTTAAAAAGTTAATCGACTTTTTTGTGATTTTGAATCACAGAAGGCATTCTGAACTTTCAAATTGGCGTCACGTTTAATTTTTGGAATCCGTCTAATGTATACCACTTACTGTAGATTGGGTTAATTTGGCGCTACTTAATTTGGCGATTTTGCCATTTTTGGCATATTGGCGGCTATTTAATTTGGCGGATATGCAAAAAAAATGTTAATGGAATGTTAAACTAACGCGCTGTTTGCGAATTACCATGTAGATCTAGATCTAAATGGGCATGTTTGGCTATGTTCATTTTTTCTTTTGAGGACCACTGGCGATATTCACCACGTTTGTACATTTTTGTGAGATCAACCTTTACATTTTACACCTCAATCGATGCTGCTACTTTTCCCTGAGTATAAATGAGTGACTGACCAGTTCTGAGCCAATTTATGAGAGACATTTTTTCATATTTTTGGAAAAAAATAAACCGGAAGTGACCTTAATACACTGGACGAAATACCCTAGATGATTCCCGGGGATTCATTCTAAATTTTGGCGGAGATTTATATTGGCGAATTTTTCAATTTCGCCAAATTCGCCAAATTAAAGCGGGCGCCAAATTAACCCAATCTACAGTACCTTTTATTGATTCTTTCATAAGTTTCGTCATAAACTCAGTTTGAACAGAAGTATCTTTGTTGCCGCTCGATTTTTTTAAGAATTTCCCTTTTCCAATCACCCGGATGTGCGGCTTACTTGGACTCATCCAAAATGAGTGGTGTAAAATGCAAGATGGTAAACATGAAAACATATCGCCACTCTCAGAGAATCTATTCCATAGTTTCAACATTACTACGCGGTTTTACGAGCGAAAAAGATAAGGGCAGGTTGTATATAGGACTGGACAAGATGAAAATAAATATTCTAAATAGATGACAACCCTTTCAAAATAAGATGAACTGAACTGTGTCACGTGACTGATTTATTAGAATTACGTCAGAAAAACAAAAGCTCCGTAGAGAATTTTCGCTTGAAATGTTGAAAAGCAAGCTCAGTTTTCTATGGGAATATACCGTTATTAATACTTACGTGTACAATATTACCAAGTTCGATGGTGTATAAGTTAGGCAGTGGATCATTTTGTAAGTACGACAATGTGAATTCATGCGACTGTTACTTTTTGGAAGTTTTTTTGCAAAAAAAGTCGAGTAACTTTTTAAATGTCGAAGAGCTTAAAGGGGTATTCCTTGCCAGACCATCTCTCTCTTAATATGGTAGCTATAACCATATACATACTTTGCAAGTTTATCAAAAAACATAAAAATGTTTTGAAATGGTCAATATTGATCACTAAAAAATGTAGTGCTCAATTTCAGTAGGCTGCCATCTTTTAAAATTTCACTCAGGAAGTGATGTCATCAACTCTCAACTTTGCATATAACATTAGGTAAGGAGCTATTAGAATTACTAAACCAGCTGAATATTTTTTTCAATTTGGTCTATGATTAAAATCCTTTTGATGATCTCTTCTTTACTTCTAAGTTGACAACTCCTGAAAATATTTTTACTCAGAAGATAATGGCTTCTTGTTTAGAAGTGATTTTGTAATTCTTTCCTATACTGTAATAGACAAGGTTATAACAGGTGAGAGTCGATGACATCACTTCCTGAAAGAAATCTGAAAAGATGGCAGCTTACTGGGAATGAGTACTACATTTTTAAATGATCAATATTGACCATATGAAAACATTTCCCCGTGTTTTGCTAAATATATAAAGTATATATATGATTGTAGCTACCATATCAGGAGAGAAATAGTCTGGCAAGGAATGTTCCTTTAACTAAAATAACATTTGTATTTCTCTCGATCGTTGTAAAAATTTAAAATGTATAAGTTTTGTCTGATTCTGATAAATGATTTACTTCTGGCTATGTGGTCAAATGAACTATAAATATGTTCCGAGAATGTCACATTTCTTCAGAATCCGGAATATCGCGAATGTAAAAATCTTGAAATGTGAACACCTCCTAATCTGGTCCCAATGGCGTTCGGATTAGACGGTTTTTACTGTAGGTAGAATGACAAAAAATATGAAATTATGACTACAGTTTCTTCATTTTGTGTCCCTTGACTATTCATTTCATTGGCATACTGTACATGGCTTAAAGCAACAAATTTCAAATTTCCTGAAAATTGAATGGCGAAAGACGTGGGCCAAATGAGCAGTGGGTTTTGGCAGGTCCTCCCTCCAAGAAATTTTGGAAAAATGAGATTCGATTGAGTGCTTTTTGAGTAATGTAGACCTTTTACAAATACTTTCAAATTGGAGGAAAAAGTATTTTCATAGGAAAAAAAATATGACCTTAATTTTGAAACTCTTGCTTGACCCCCCACTCCTCCTAGAAATAAATCCAGATTTGTATTGAACTCAATGGGGTCAGATTTTGGTCAATTTTCTCCTGAAATTCCTGAAGACTTTAAGCCATGACTGTAATAAACATAATTCAATGTAATCAAATATGATTAATTTTGATCTATTTCAGAGCAAACATGTCAGCTGTAGCAAGACTAGCCAAACCTCAGTTGAGGGGCATGTGTAAGGCCCATGCTAAGAAATCCTTTGCTGTTGGGGCTGTTGCTGGAACTGTTGCGTTTTTCGGTTATTGGTTTGGTGTGTATCAACCTAGGAAAGCACGCTACAGGGAATTCTATGCGTAAGTATCCACGTATGTTTTTCTTAGTATATGTTATTGTTAGTATAAATTTAGTAACACAGCAATTATGCATGTGACTGTTTATCTACTGCAATATATGCCCATTGAACAATCAGGCAGAAATTAGAAAAACTGTCCATGAATAGAAACAAGAAAGTGCAGTTAAATCCTGGTTGGTGGCTAGATAGACTAGATGAATTTTTGCTAGAATGTGAATACTGCCAGAACATTCACTCTCAATCAAAAATATAAATGACATCAATTTCGATATCAAATTCATCATTGTAAGCATTAAAGCTATTCCTGCGATATTTTGAAGTTTGCAGACATTCAGAAATCTGATATATAGGCCTATTGTGAAAACCCCTATCCTACCATTGACCATCTGGGTGAATGTTGAGCTTTGTGATATGCTGTCTCGTTTGTTATCACACTTTGAAAGAGTTGTATTCTTGTTGTTTTGTCATGAAAATTTCCAGGAAAACCACCCTTGTTAAATGTTCACTTAAAATTTTTAAAGATGCAATAATAGTGCCAAGATCTGATTAGGTTTTGGCCACGTCGGTTAAATTACATGTTAACAATTTTCTCTTCAAAGTGTGATATTCATCACAACAGTGTGTCTTGTTTATTTAATTTTCCCGTTGTATTTCAGCACATATGACTGGGAAAAGGATTACCAACGGATGGTAGAGGCAGGTGTATTTCAATCTGTGCTACCCTCTGGCGAAATCAACTCGGAAGCTTGGTAGTTTGAAACATCATTAGGCAATTTTTTCTTTTTTTGTAAGTATTGTTGGTTTATAGCAAGCAATGTGTTATAATCTTGATACCTTGATTGTTTAAAGTCGCTGTACAAAAAAAGTTGCAGAAAAACCCTGAATATAAAGCTTTTTTCCTACTTTTATGAACCACTATTGTGGATTCTCAATATACAGTTTATGTAAATAGGCTCAAATAGGTTTTTATTTCAATTTCCAAATGTTTAAACTGCACACAATCATTCTAGACCTTCATTATACTGTGATAAATGGGTGTTTCTTTTTGAAAAATAGGTCATCCTTTTCGACTCCAATAAAAATGTATATTTGAACATGTTTTACATGATTGATTTTTTCTTCCAGGTGACATACAGCACAGTCAATTCAACAGAACTACAGAATATTTATAATAACTACAAACAGTTTACAATGGAAGACTATAGAATAGACTCTAATACATGTAATAGACTCTGTTTTCTAGTTTCTACCAGCACCTGTGCATTTTGTGGTTTCCTGTATAAAGTCATGTTTGAATAAATCTTAATCATAAAATTGACTTTTGTGTTATCATTAGAAGGTGTATAGTGTTAAGTTCTCTGAGGCATAACTAGGATTAGGTGAGGGAAATGTAAATATTGGCTAAATGTGGTATATTATTACTGCATTTGGACTCAATTTCATAGTTTTAGTTTACATAATGTCCAAATAAATATATTTCTGTAAAATGTTAATAAAGCAGTTGCCTCGCCTGCCTCACGCCTGGCTAAGCCCATGGTAAAAGTAGAGCCACAGTGAAAATGTTTCCCGTCAGTTAATCTTGGAGAGAGTACATATGAATAGGCTTATGATACGATTGATGAGAATTTGCCATTTGGTGCTACTGTAGCAAATTCATGAATTGCAAATATGGAACTGAATTGATTATTTATTTCAACCATATCTGATGTATCCAAACAAGCCCTTTTTATCACACTGAAGAACTATATTGTCATTTTCTGGTGCTGCTGGATGTGTGTGATCGGCGGCACATAATTCTTGTCATCAAAATCCAAAATAAGGTTTTTGGTACACTGAGTATATAACAAGACAGCAATTTGCTTGTCAAATTGCCATATACAGGGTGGGCCAAAAAAAACCACCCCCCTAGCCAATATTCCTGATAAATATTTATTTTTTAACAATCACACCAACAATGATATATCATATTAAAGATAATTTAATTTGCAACAAAATGATATATAATAGCACCATTTTCAACAACCCCATATAGAAATATGACCATTTATGTGACATGGGGGTCAAAAAACACCTTTTCAATTTTCGTCGATTTTGCGAACAATTGCCTATTTCTACCAAATTTTAGTAAATTACAACATTGTCATGAGTCTTTCATAAATGGATATTATATATTGTTTTCATTCAGTTTTTGAACCACACATGCTCAATTTACATGTGTATGCTCATAAAACTAATTCATTTCTTCTTCAGTCTGTCCAAAAATAGCTCAATAGACCCACCCCCCGGACCCATCCTCTGATTGGATTATTCGCTTAAGACGCGGAAGCCATTGGTTGATGGCATAATTGATGGATGTATGCGGAAGTACCATTCAACTACTAGTTATTCTTTCTTTTAGTTCCTCTACATCCCTGATAGGCTGGGTATATTTAAATACCAACTGTTCTAGATGCCCCCAGGTATGGTAATCAACATTATTGGCAACTGGACTGCCAATAAGCCATTTTTCTGGGCTAAAGATGGTGACATTTCGAATCTCCAAAAACTCCAGGGTAGCATTGGACCTGTGTGATGGAGCACTGTTCTATCAGAAAATGAAATTTCTTTCACATGTTTTTTATATTCTCGAGGAGTCCTTTTTTACCACCTCATGTCATTAACATTCAGAGTATATTTTTGCTCCTGGTTCAAAAAACAGGGCCTGTACGGTCTTTCCTTTTTGGGAAACACCGAGTGGACACCACCTACCTTTCAGAAAAATGTCATCTCGATTTGAGTAGCCTTTTATCGCAAATGTCACTATTCTTGCTTACTGATATAGAGTATAGCCTTTTGATTACATGAATAGTACTTGGGGCATTTAGAACAGTTGGCATATGGAGATCCCTAGCCCATTAGGGGTGTAGACAAACAGAAAGAATGAATTATTAGGTGTTGGATGGTACTTCTGCAGAGGTCCATCAATTATACCAATGGCTTTCGCGTTTTAAGCGAGAAATCAAATCAGAATTTGGGTCCGGGGGTGAGTCTTTTGAGCCATATTCGGACATACTGAATAAGAAATGAATTAGTTTTATAAGCATACACATGTATATTGAGCATGCAAGGTTCCAAAACTGAATGAAAACAATATATAATATCCAATTATGAAAGACTCATGACAATGTTGTAATTTACTAGAATTTGGTAGAAATAGGCAATTGTTCGCAAAATAAACGAAAATTGAAAAGGTGTTTTTTGACCCCCATGTCACATAAATGGTTATATCTCGAGCCAGAGTTGTTGAAAACTGTTCTATTATATATCATTTTGTTTCAAATTAAATTGTCTTTAAAATGATATATCATTGTTGGTGTGCATGTTAAAAATTGAATATTTATCAGAAATATTGGCTAGGGGGGTGGTTTTTTTTGGCCCACCCTGTATATTATCACTGTCACATGTATCTTGTTTTTTCTGATTTGTTAATGAAAAATATTGGCACATCATTTAATATGCTGGAATTTTAAGACATAAAGTGCCAGTACTAGATGATTATACGTAATATAAAGATTTTAACAAATCCTCCAAAACACTGCTCTCTTGTTATAGGCATTGAATAGTATTTTCTGAATGTAGAAATTATTTTGATTTTTGTCATTTCATCTTCAATATTTAATCAAAGTACATTGAAATCTACATATAAATTTTCATCTAGAAATGTGGTTTTGAAAATTGTTCAAGTTCAGTTTTCTTTGGAAATGTGACTGTTTTAGTTTATACAAATAAAAATTAAAGTTTAGATAAACACTTTCCTACTAGTATGTTTATCTCCCATGTTATTCGATCCACATTAGTAATCTGGTGGGGACATTGGTCAGTGGCTACTGTTACCTTGGTAATTGGTATTTCTCTGGGTAAACAAGCTTGACTATGCTTATTGAAGGGAGTTAAATATGTCTTATTGAAAGCAGACTAAAAATGCGCTCTCCAAATTAATACTCAAATATCGTATATCCCGACATATTGGAGTGTACAAAGGATTTACTTACCTTAACGCAAGGATTGTATGAAGAACAAAACGCTAAAACAGGTTACGACAACAGTTTATATCACGTTTTGACATTTTAATTGTATTATCGGCGACTGCGGTCGATAGACCCCATATACTAACTCTAAAAACGTTGCTATTTGACTACGTTAAAAAGACAACGTTTCGTGCAGTGTAAAATTCGTTTCATACAGTGTAACGTTCAGTAATCATATTTAGTGAAATAACCGGGTAGCTACGATGTCTGATTTTAAAGTCTTTATGTCCAACAAGGAAGTTGTGAAACGTATTCAAACCATTGGTAGTCATTACAGGAAGCACGTTCCGAGTAAACTAAAGAAAGCAACCGGATCTAAATCTAAATTAGCAACGCTGGACTCTCTCAATGAACATTGCAGCTCAGATACATACTGTGTGTTCAGAACGAATCAAGATGGGTTGTTAAACTGGATAATAACATTACACCTATATTATGAAGACTATAACAACAAACAAATGGAAATCTGTGAGGATCTCAAGAAGATCAGTGTAGAAGCATCAGAGTATAAAGTAACAGTTTTCTTAACAACTGGAACCATTCAAATACAAGGAAATAACATCACTGAATTCAAATCCCAGGTGTTTCCAATCTTGAAAAGCACTACTTATCAGATCAAGCAATCAAACACAGAAAAAAAGGACAATACTCAAGATCAGTCAAATACACAGATAAAGAGCATAACATCTACAACCGATATTAACGATCATGAGATAAAAAGCACAGAAAATGATACCATAAACAATGATTATCACGACAACGAGGTCACAAATGTAAAACTAAGATGTACTCAACCAGACCATGAAAATGCACAGGACGAGAACGAGATAGAGGATTTGGAAGATAACAACGTTCACGAAAATAACATCATGAACCACAATAATCACGATAACGAAAATCCAGCTGTAAATAACGAGACTCCAACTGTAAATAACGAGACTCCAATTGTAAATAACGAGACTCCAACTGTAAAAAATAACGAGACTCCAATTGTAAATAACGAGACTCTAACTGTAAAAAATAAGGATGGCGACAAAAAAACAAAAGTAACTTCAACAGATAACGTGTCTGAAACCGAATCCAATAATACAAAGAGTTGTGAGACCAGCATCCTTCAGCAAGAACTGTCAAAAATAACTAGAAAGATGGAAAAATTAGAAAATACAGTTTGCGATCTAATAGACAAAGTGAGTGTGAACAACGTATCACAGAAAGAAACGCGATGCTCAGGAGAAGAATCGACTTGCGAGCATGATACAGAATTACGCAGAGTAAGAAAGATAAGAAAAGAACAAGCTGATTTTGTTACAGACCAAGCCAGAAAAATTAAGGCGTATCAAAGTGAAATTGATCACCAACAAACAATTATAAGTTCAAAAAACAGAGAAATCGAAGAACTAAATGAAAAGATTCAATCAAAGATGCAAGTTATATCCAAACAAGATGATGAACTTCACGATCTTAACACACTGAGGAAGAAGGTGGAGAAACAGGATTCAGTTATCAGATCAAATAACAATGAAATGGAAGAGCTACAACAAAGAATAAAAAATAAAAACCAGTATTTAGAAGATAAGGAAGAGGAAAATTTTGAACTCAAACTCCAGTGCAAAAAATTAGCACACGAGAAGAAAGACGACACGCCTTACACAGTGGTAACCAGGAAATCTAACAATCTAATAGAAATAACAAACGATGAGAATAGCGAGAAGGAACCAACTGTTAAACTAATCGGATCAAGCATTTTGTCCCATGTGGATGGCAAGAGGATGAGCGGACTTAACGTGTCAGTTGAACAGGCCTATACAATTCAACAGGCTAAAGATTACGTAAATGGTTCAACTTCAAAACCAGACATAACAGTGTTCCAGGTGTTAAGTAATGATGTCAAATCAGTACAATCAGATGAAAGGATCATCAAATCGATGGAGGAACTGGTCAAACTCAACGAAACAAAGGCTCCGAACTCGAAGATTATAGTGTCCTTACCACCACCGAGAAAAGACAACCCAAAATGGAACCTCCGTCAGAAATCTATAGCTAGCCAATTGGAAGTAGTATTCCACGATAACGACAACGTCACATGCTGCCCCAATGACAATCTAGGACTGAATGGCCAACCGAAACCCCATCTCTACAGAGATAACGTACATATTAACGAACAAGGAACTAGAGTGCTCTGCGGGAATATACTTCGCACGGTTAGAAAGTTCTGTAATCTCTCCCAACCAGCACATCGTAACAACAATAACATGACCAGTAACAATAACTTTTATGGATCTCGGCCAAGATATAGGCAACAGTATCAAAGATACTAGATTCGGGGCCTGATGGTAATCTAAACTGATCATCAGTGACTACACTAGACGAATTAAACGTTATTTAGTTAAGATGTTTCACTATTTTGTAAAACTATGGTAACTAAGAATGTAATCAAGAATTTTACTCATTCATTCCGTTTACGGTTTTAAGTCAAGACATACATGTAGGGCATAGTATCAAAGATACTATCGATAAAGGAACTGTTGGTACTCTAGACTGGTCAGCGAATTTACGACCATAAACGGATTGTTAACTTCTACTCACTCAAGACCAGCGATATTATTGTATTGTATTGTAGTATAATGTAGTATTGTATTGTGTTGTACTATATTGTATTGTAGTATAATGTAGTAGTAGTTTCCGATATGTATTCGATATGTTATCAATATACTCCAGATATGGTTTAAAGCCAGGATATACATGTAGGTCACAGTTTCAAAGACACTTCAGTCAGATAAAATGACTGTATAATTTAGACGGATCAGCGACTAAATAAGTTATATAAGACGTTTAATTATATTATAAATTCAAGTAAGAATGTATAATACTTCTACGCATTTAAGACGTTATCAGCAGAAGTACACTATATGCAATCATTACATTATATTTTCAGTATGTCGGGATGTAAGATGTAAGATGTTGAATGTTAATTAACATATTTACGTATTATAATGATATATAAAAATACGACCATTACCACACATTTAAATATCGCTTGCTGGAACGTTCAGGGAATTGAAAGCAAAGTAAGGAACAAATTGCACGATAATGATTTTATCAAAGAATTAATAACACATGATATAGTCTGTCTAACCGAAACACATGGTGATGAAAAAGACCCGATATGTTTTGATAGAGTTAAGGGCTTCACATCATTTTCGGTAAATAGAGCTAAATCTGGCAGGAAACGTCATGGCGGATTAGCTGTACTTATAAGAAATACATATATAGCAGGAACGACAATAATCAAAACGAAGACACCAGATATCCTGTGGGTTAAACTTTCAAAAAAGTTCTTTAATACAAGTAATGACATGTACTTATGTATAACGTATTTTTCACCTGCAAACTATAACCCAAAAGGTAAATTCAACTCAGGGGATGACCCATACGAGATTTTGACAAAAGAAATAAATAAATATTCTAATATAGGTGATGTTATGATTATGGGAGATCTTAATTCAAGAACAGGTGAAGTACGCGATTTTGAAAATAATCACGGTTATGATGATCATATCCCAAACATTCTACTTTGTCCCAATGATGTCACCATCAATGAACGTTCCAGCATGGATTCAGTTGTTGATGCTTCGGGTAAGAAGCTACTAGACCTATGCAGGTCATCTAATTTACGAATTATAAATGGCAGAGTACTTGGGGACTCGCCCGGTAGATTCACCTGTCATAAATGGAATGGAAGCAGTGTAGTTGACTATTGTATTATTCATGAAAATATGCTTCCAGATATTATGTACTTCAAGGTTCATGATAACCTTTGTGTGCTCTCTGATCATTGCAAGATTTCTCTATTAATGCAAGTACGAATACCAAACGACCACGGTAACAATCGGACTAAAAACAATGGGCATACTATCAAAATGAAACCAATCAAATATAAATGGGACGCCCGTCGCGAGGTACTATTTAAAACGGACCTCTCCAATAATTTCAAAACACGAAATGATGTAAATGAACTCAATTACGAGCTAAACGACACCTATAATATTGATGATTGTATTGACAAGCTCGAAAAAATTATAATTAACACAGCAAAAAGAACACTACGAAAAAAGTTACCCTGTAAAAAGAAAGGGGGCTCGATATCTCAAAAATGGTTTGATAATGATTGCAGTATACTGAAAAGAAAGGTTAAGTCAATTGGAGCAAAACTAATAAAATCACCAAATGATAATATGATTAGAGGTAATTACTTCAAGTTGCTAAAGGAATATAGGAAATGCTGTAAGATAAAACAGAGGAAATTTAAAACTAATATGATAAATAAATTAGAAGAACTTTATGACAATGACCCTAAAGAATATTGGTCCCTACTTGAGCAACTAAGGCAAAAAGACGGAAACAATAAGTCCGCGTATATAACACCAGAGAAATGGCATGAACATTTTTCCAAATTATTTGAAAAGGATAAAAATACCGAAAACAACAAAAAAGTCAACGAAATTGTTAAATCAATAGAAAACGACAATCATTTTGACGAACTTAGCTTCAGAATAACAGAAAACGAGGTTAACAAGGCAGTTAAGCAATTAAAGAACAACAAGAGTTCGGGTTTTAACGGCATTTGCTATGAAATGATTAAAGCGTCATACTCAGTTTTAAATAATGTTATCTGTAAAATGTTTAACATATTACTGAGCAAAACAGTTTTCCCTGAGAAATGGAATATTTCATCAATCGTTACGTTATTTAAGAAAGGAACGACGAAAGACCCTGGAAATTACAGAGGTATTTTTATTTCTGATTGCTTTGGCAAATTATTTTCAATAATTTTGTATAATAGACTTTACGCCTTTGTACATGACAGAAAAATAATATCGGAAAATCAAGCCGGTTTCACAAAGAAAGCACGAACAACTGACCACATGTTCATAATACGAACCCTCGTGGATAAATACGTACTAAGTGAAAAAGGGAATATATATATGTGTTTTGTTGATTTGAGGAAAGCTTTCGATACGGTATGGCATGATGGATTATTTTTGAAACTTTTGCAATCGGGTGTAAACGGTTTATTCTATAAAATGATAAAACATATATATTCACATTCAAAAGCAAGAGTCAGACTAGATAATGAGGGTTTATTTACCAATGAATTTGACTGTAACAAGGGAATAAAACAGGGGGACCCCCTAAGTCCTCTTCTATTTAATATATATATAAATGACATTATTAAAACATTAGATCTCAAAACAGACCCATTATTAAATAATAAGCGAATTGGAAGCCTCCTTTTTGCTGATGACTTAGTAATTATCGCATCCTCAAAAGATGAAATGCAAACCAAATTGGACAAATTAGAAAAATACTGTGAAGAATGGCACTTAAATATCAACACTGATAAAACCAAAATTATGGTAATGAATAAAAATGGTAGACTTATTGATAATCACTTCTTTATAGGAAATTACAAAATAGAATCTGTTTCACGATACATTTACCTGGGAATGGAATTAAGCATAAGTGGGTCAATGAGACCTGCAGCCCAGCATATCAAAGACAAAGCTGAAAAGGCAAAATTTAAATTATTAAGTCTAATTTCTAATGGTAATATGAAACCATCATTATGCTTAAAACTATTTGATCAACTCATAAAGCCCATATGCCTCTATGGATCTGATATATGGGGTACGGGTATCTTAAACTCGAGTAAAATTAAAAAAGACCCACAATGGGCATTAGAAAAGGGATATGATGGAATAACATTTGAATCTCTTCATATATCATTTATGAAATCGATACTCGGTGTTAACAGAAAGGCCAGTAATGACGCTACACGAGGCGATTTAGGTAGGTTTCCACTATTTATTTCTTTGTTTTATCAACAAATGAAATATCTTAATCATATTAACAATAAAGGAACCGACTCGCTTCTACGTGAAGCCCTTGAGGTAAATAAACAACTGACAGATATGAATAAACAATCATGGCTCACGCACATCAATGATGTACTTAAATATATTTACAATGGTACTTCACCAAACTATTTAAACTTAAAACCAAGAGAAATTAAGAAATTACTGGAAAATAGATACATACAATTTTGGGAAACTAAAATAAAATCAAATAATGGTAAATTGAGGTTTTATAAGATAATAAAAGCAAAATGGAACAAGGAACCCTACTTGGATTTAATCAAAAATGAAATAGACAGAAATAACTTGACAAAGCTAAGAATTAGCGCACATAAATTAGAAATCGAAACAGGTCGTTACACAAAACCAATTACCCCTATTGAAGAAAGAAAATGTTTAATGTGTAACAAGAAAACCGGTTCAGAATGTCATTACCTATTAGAATGCAATAAGTTAAAAGATGTTCGGTCAAGTTACATGGATAAAATAAAAAAACACTGTCAAAATTTAGAAAACATGAATAACGTGGAACATAAATTAATTTTTCTATTTAATTCAGAGGGAATAATATTAAATATACTAGCAAAATATATATCTAATATTTTTATCGAGAGAGAAAAAAACACGAAATGCATCCAATAAAATCTTGCAATGATCAAGCACCCTTTGATTAGTTAATATACTATATAGATAATTAGTTAAGCTTTTTCATTTTTTTCTGTTTAAGCTGTACACTTTGCCCAAATGTGGGATACAAGTATAATAAAGCTCATAATAATATCTTAGTAATTATCTACTCTCAAAATTTCATAAAAACATTCTAGATTTAGATGAAAGAACTAAAACCCCCAGAACAAGTGTTATTGGTCCAGTAGCATGAGTATTTTATTTATTTCCTGGACAGACAGATAGATGGATGGATGTATTCACTAGTATATCCCTAACAAAACTATTTGATGGGACAACTAACTTTACCTTGGATTTTTAAATAAATAAACAACATTGTTAATGCAGAGTTTACTATAATGTATAATATTAATATCAAATAAATAATTTTTATTCACAGCTTTAAACTGTTAAAACCTATGTACAATATGCATTTGCCAACATAATGATTGGACTATGCTAAAGACATCATATAAGCAGGTAGAGATATTAGAAATACTCTAAATTATTTATGGATCACATTGAAATATACAGCTTTAATACTGGCAACATATTATATACTTAGAGATCAATGAGTCATGAGTAGACGATACAGTAAAACCTGTATATCTGAACACCCCTCCAATCCAAACATCTCGATGTGAACACTTTTTTTCATTTAAAAATTTGTTATTTCTCTATGAATCTGAAGACTTTTGGCCGGCCACCTGGTGAAAATGGAAATGACATATATCAGGAAAAAGTAACTGAGTAACCTTCACAAAATACGTTTGGGAATGTTTATATTGGGGACTAAATGCTATAAAAACAAAATGTCAATCAGATTTTTCATAAAATGAAAATCTGTTAGAGATGACTAAATGTACACTCCCCTTCATAAGATTGGCAACTGGATGTCCTTTTTTGGATCATTTACCAAAGACTGTTCTTGTTTTGCGATTTAAAGAAATCCGTCAAAATCATAAATTTTCTCATTACTGTAGGCTAATAAATTAACAAAAATTAAGATTCAAACACCATCCAATTAATATTCCTGTTGCCAAATTTATGGAGGGGAGTGTAGTATACATCAAGCCGAATGTGTAAGTTATGTAACCCTGTTGTTTAATTATCTGTTCATTACTGTCAGTCACATTGAAAGTTGATCCGATCATATCAAGTATTCAATCCTAAAAATGGATTTCATGCCTGCTTTCGTACGAATGTAAATAAACTGCAATTGTATTGTACGGTGTTGCATTCCCCATATCTTGGCTTGGTTGGAATCCCTAGGCTCTCTATGATATATTCTTTGGACGCCATATTCCCCATATCTTGGCTTGGTTGGAATCCCTAGGCTCTCTATGATATATTCTTTGGACGCCATATTCCCCATATCTTGGCTTGGTTGGAATCCCTAGGCTCTCTATGATATATTCTTTGGACGCCATATTCCCCGTATCTTGGCTTGGTTGGAATCCCTAGGCTCTCTATGATATATATACTTCGGACGCCATATTCCCCATATCTTGGCTTGGTTGGAATCCCTAGGCTCTCTATGATACATTCTTTGGACGCCATATTCCGATTGAAGCATTACTGCAGCCTATGGCTAATGTGTTGTCTTGGTAACTCAACTGAAATTGATATTTTTTGAGAATTAAATGAAATAAATCATTTATTTAAGGTTTGAACTACAGTTTGAATGTACAATGTGATGGTCACCAACCATCAATCTGGCCTTTAAGAAACTTACACAACACAATCTATTCTAACTTTGCTAATCATTTGTTTCAAAATTATCAGTTCTTCCACAAGGCATTAACCATGTCAACAATGTTACCACCTGTGAGCTATTGCAAGTTGTTACCTTAGTGTAACAATTTGTCACTGAAGTCAACCACCAACATTGAATGTTGGTCACATAAGATGGTGGCTTTCACAATATTCACCACCAAAGGATGGCTTTAACAATATTCACCACCAAAGGATAGCTTTCACAATATTCACCACCAAAAGGTGGCTTTAACAATATTCACCACCAAAAGGTGGCTTTAACAATATTCATCACATCTTGGTGGTGACATTTTACACATGTAATAAACTCACCGAGGCTGCTTCCATATCAAACTTTAGTTGAGATATGACTCCAGGGTTTTCATTTGGTTCTAAAACATTGACAGTTTTATCAGTAGAGGCAGAGAAGATCGCACCTAGGGTATTGTGGAGATCTGTTATTTTACCACTCTGGCCAGTTTCATAGGACTGAAATCAGAACAAATCTTTTAAGTGTGAAAAAATATTCAATGATACAATGCGATTGGGATGTGGAAATTACAGAAATACTCACAAATAAAGCCTGGACACTTTTAAAAAGGACAAGTCTCGGTTTGGAAAACAGTCTTCTGGACTAATAATTTTTTTCATGAAAAATATAGAAATATCACCCAAATTAAATTATTTGTCCGAAGCTGGCGTAACGTGCAGGAGACTGATTCAATAAAAGACAAGTCTCGATTTAAAGAAAGAAGTTCATCAGTGTACTGCGCTAATACTTTTTTGATGAAAAATATTATTATGGAAAAATTAAATTATGGATATTCAAAAGAGGACATTTAAATCTACAATATGCAAAATTGCCCAAAGCAGGCGTAACGTGCAGTAGACTGATGAACTTCATTCTCCAAACTGAGACTAGTCTTTTGATCTTGGAATTCTCGAAGCTATATAACTACATGTAATTGAACATATTCCCAGTTTTTATTTTATTCTAAAAATTACCTGTACAACATCAAATTTGCCATGTTTAGGGTCGAGCAGGTGTATATGGCCTGTCTTGTCTCCCACCCACAGCTGGCCATCATTATAGCACATAGACATTGCAAAACTTCCAATCTAAAATATTAAATCAAACTAAGTCAGATAAGAATCACATGGTATTGCTATTCTTTCAAAGTGGCAAGCCAACAAACTATGTTATGTAGTAACTGCATACAGAGAGGATTGAGTGAAAACGTAGATACTGTAAATACAACATGAATCTTATTTTACTTGGATTTGAAAGTTTTTAATTTTGAGACAATATTCCCTCAACCAAATTCAGAACTGAAAAGTGAAGCCCATATAAAAGCCATTATTACATTTATAGACTTGAGTACACCATTAGAGCGTCTATCCAGCACATATATAGTTTCATCCTCTCCCCCTGTAATCACATGCTTCTCATCTGCCACCATACACAGCACTGGTTTCTTGTGGAGCATAAATTCAGATACTATTGAACTTGTTCTTGGGTCAATTCTGTAGGTTTTCTTATCAAATCCCCCAGCGAACAGTTCTCCTTCTTCATAGTGCATACACAAGACAGCAGATTTTAATCTAAAAGTACAAAGTCATATAAATGCACTGTTCAACATTACAAGATTCAATGCACTTTTGTTGACATATAAACTCCATCCACTTTTTTGACTCTACAATATAAACTTCTAAATACAGCATGAACTACATTTTTACAGGGTGTTTTATAACGACCATCCCCACATCCACAGCCTATCATAGATTTTCTGAAATGGGTGATGCTGTTGTAATAATTTACCAGAGATAATTTCAAATACATGTACATTTAAAGCATGATTCATGTAAAAGGAACTATAAGGTGTATAGTGTCACACAGAGTCTTTTGAATCATGTTATCTTCCTGACTACCATTTCACTAAGCTATGACTTATTTCAAAGATTTCTAAGAACAATTTCATTACAACATTTTTCAATTTCTTACTTTATTTTGTTTACTGTCTGTAACTGAGGAGCATTAAGATCCCAGAACTTTATGTACGTATCCCAAGAGCCTGAACATAGAGAATTCCCTACAGATGCGAGACTCCAGATCCAACCCTGAAACAATGAATAATATTGGTTAATACATAGACGGAGTAAAACCTGCATAAATGGAACACCTTTTCTACCTTAAAATAGTGTTCAACCTAAGCTTGAAAGTGTTTCACTTAAAGTGGTCTAACCTTATGGGCAACAGGAATTTAAAGTGTTCTACTGGAAGAGTCTTACTGTATATCGATGAATTTCATTTATCACTCAGTAGTCTATATCTTATAAAGATTCATGAGCTTTCATTCACACAAACAACAGGCAAGATTATCAGAGATCAGAAATCAAACTTTTAACATTGAAAAGGTTACAAATTCCTCAAAGTAATGTTGGTATGAACAACTGAAGAGAACTGCCTGTCGCCTGTTAACCTCAGATTCCAAGAATTCACTTATATGTCGACCCACATGTTTCGCCCACTCTGAATAGAGAAGTTATTGGCCAGATAAGCATAATTTCTGATTTTCCCCACATCCACATTGCTAATTTCTTTGAAGGTGAATGCTTGAAATGAAACTACAGTAAAACCTGTCTAATCCGAACACCCATGGCTCCAGCTAAAAGCGTTCAAATTGGCAGGTGTTCAAATTTCAAGGATTTTGTTGGTCGGGGGGGGGGGGGATTTTCATTGTTCAGTGCACTTTATAGAACACTTAATACTAAGTCAGAAAACAATACATGTTGTTGATGAGTTAATTCCACAATAGGCCTATAGCCTATGCTATTTCATCATTTTAATAAAAATAACTCTTATATTTTGGCAAAAACTTTGTAATACACTGTAAAAGTATATGATAGTCTCGTACGAAATCGTATGCTTATCAAATGGCTTATCCCATATTATGGTTATATAGCACTGCTTTACTTTTGCTTGAAAAAGTCCTTCAAGTTTGTTTCTTAGCACTTTTAGCATTAGCAATATTTGAGTAGATATCCTCTTCAAGTAAAAATAATTTTTCATGAGTGTTCATTCGAGGTGATGTATAATCCTTCAAAATATCAAGGGCATTCAGGATGTCAGATGTATGCGAATATTACGAAGTTGGATTTTTTCTCCTTCTCGTGATATATATGTCTGCAAATGGCGTCTGTGTTGTCTTTGTGATTATAAAACATACTGATTGAATCTTAGCTATCATAACATACCCATGGGATATAAAACAGTTAAGACCTGTTCATAATCCAAATCAAAAACATCCAGTTAATTTACAATAAGGATAAACCAATTATCTCCCAGACTCTCACGTTTCTCTTAATCCAAATCAAAAACATCCAGGTAATTTCCAATAATTATAAATCAATTATCTTCTTGATTCACACCTTTCTCTTAATCCAAAAATAAAACATTCAGTTCTTTTCTAATAGGATAAACCAATTAACTCCTGTATTCACACCTTTCCAAAACATCCTGTTGTTTTCCACAAATTAGGGATGTCACTGAGACTAAATAAGTTAATTAGGACGATTGGTTCTTTGATTGCATTTGTATATATGTAAAGATAAATAACAACTATAACATTGACTCAATATGTGGCTTTAATTGAAATGTCCAGACATTTGATTTCTGATAAAAAATGTTCAGATTAGACAGGTCACTTTTTCAAATCTGGTTGTTCACTGTTCAAATTAGGAGGTGTTCAGATTTCAAGTTTTTTTTAACATGGGAGTCAATGGGAGGAAAAAATGGGACCGAAAAAAAAGTGTTCAAATTGGAAGGTGTTCGGATTAGCCAGGTGTTCAGATATACAGGTTTTACTGTATTGAAAGTCAGCTTGGCTATCAAGTTTTTACAACTTAACCAATCAATGTATTTTTGTATATTTTAATTGGCAAAAATCCCATGTAAACTACAGGGTGTCCAATAAGTAATGAATGATTCAATTATTTGGAAAAGAAGTTCATCTTAAAATGTTCATTGAGAATTTTCCTCCTCGCTCCTAGAGTAAAAGGAAATTCACCTTAAACTGTTAAACTCTTCCAGAACCTAAAACCTGACAACATATATCTTTCCTTAAAATTAACAACATAGAAAGTGTCCTCTACATTAAAAGATCCAGAAAGTGCTTGTACTTACTTTATGTGCATCCATTAAAGATTCCACTTTGGATGCCTTAACACTCACTGGATCCCCAGACTCCAGCTTTGTAACATCAATGAGGTTTAAATAACGATCCCTTGATCCAGATGCTAATAACTGGCCATTCTGTAAAACATAAGCACATGTACTATTTTCATCTTTACATCTTCACTGTGACTGACATAAGCTTAGTGGATGAAGATGCTACATTTTATCAACGGTTAATAGTGTCAAGATGAATATATTCAATTTACAAACAAATAAAAAACTAGTAAGTGGCAACCCCATGTAGTAGCAAATCCCAAAGAACAATCTATCAATTCTAATTCTCAAACGTTTAGTATATTTAACTCTTAACAGTCAGACAGTTCACAATAAATACTTCACAATATCCCATTCAAACTTTGTCCGTTGGGATGACCAATGCTACTCCTGATAGCCCCTAGTCCCCTCCCAACAAAATATATTTTATGCTGTGATACCTTAGTTAAGAAATATTTTGAGCAATTACAATGCATGCATGCATTGTGTGCAGTATGGTTATTACAATGCATGCATGCATTATGTGCAGTATGGCAATTACAATGCATGCATGCATTATGTGCAGTATGGTTATTACAATGCATGCATGCATTATGTGCAGTATGGCAATTACAATGCATGCATGCATTATGTGCAGTATGGCAATTACAATGCATGCATGCATTATGTGCAGTATGGCTATTACAATGCATGCATGCATTATGTGCAGTATGCCTATTACAATGCATGCATGCATTATGTGCAGTATGGCTATTACAATGCATGCATGCATTATGTGCAGTATGGCTATTACAATGCATGCATGCATTATGTGCAGTATGGCTATTACAATGCATGCATGTATTATGTTTGCAGTATGGTTATTACAATGCATGCATGTATTATGTGCAGTATGGTTATTACAATGCATGCATGCATTATGTGCAGTATGGCTATTGCAATGCATGCATGTATTATGTGCAGTATGGTTATTACAATGCATGCATGCATTATGTGCAGTATGACTATTACAATGCATGCATGTATTATGTGCAGTATGGCTATTACAATGCATGCATGCATTATGTGCAGTATGGCTATTACAATGCATGCATGCATTATGTGCAGTATGGCTATTACAATTCATGCATGTATTATGTGCAGTATGGTTATTACAATGCATGCATGCATTATGTGCAGTATGGCTATTACAATGCATGTATGTATTATGTTTGCAGTATGGTTATTACAATGCATGCATGTATTATGTGCAGTATGGCTATTACAATACATGCATGCCTTATGTGCAGTATGGCTCTTACAATGCATGCATGCATTATGTGCAGTATGGTTATTACAATGCATGCATGCATTATGTGCAGTATGGCTATTACAATGCATGCATGCATTATGTGCAGTATGCCTATTACAATGCATGCATGCATTATGTGCAGTATGGCTATTACAATGCATGCATGCATTATGTGCAGTATGGCTATTACAATGCATGCATGCATTATGTGCAGTATGGCTATTACAATGCATGCATACATTATGTGCAGTATGGCTATTACAATGCATGCATGCATTATGTGCAGTATGGCTATCACAATGCATGCATGCATTATGTGCAGTATGGCTATCACAATGCATGCATGCCTTATTTGCAGTATGGCTATTACAATGCATGCATGCATTATTTGCAGTATGGCTATTACAATGCATGCATGCATGCATTATGTGCAGTATGGCTATCACAATGCATGCATACATTATGTGCAGTATGGCTATTACAATGCATGCATGTATTATGTGCAGTATGGTTATTACAATGCATGCATGTATTATGTGCAGTATGGTTATTACAATGCATGCATGCATTATGTGCAGTATGGCTATTACAATGCATGCATGTATTATGTGCAGTATGGCTATTACAATGCATGCATGTATTATGTGCAGTATGGCTATTACAATGCATGCATGCATTATGTGCAGTATGCCTATTACAATGCATGCATGCATTATGTGCAGTATGGCTATTACAATGCATGCATGCATTATGTGCAGTATGGCTATTACAATGCATGCATGCATTATGTGCAGTATGGCTATTACAATGCATGCATACATTATGTGCAGTATGGCTATTACAATGCATGCATGCATTATGTGCAGTATGGCTATCACAATGCATGCATGCATTATGTGCAGTATGGCTATCACAATGCATGCATGCCTTATTTGCAGTATGGCTATTACAATGCATGCATGCATTATTTGCAGTATGGCTATTACAATGCATGCATGCATGCATTATGTGCAGTATGGCTATCACAATGCATGCATACATTATGTGCAGTATGGCTATTACAATGCATGCATGTATTATGTGCAGTATGGTTATTACAATGCATGCATGTATTATGTGCAGTATGGTTATTACAATGCATGCATGCATTATGTGCAGTATGGCTATTACAATGCATGCATGTATTATGTGCAGTATGGCTATTACAATGCATGCATGTATTATGTGCAGTATGGCTATTACAATGCATGTATGCATTATGTGCAGTATGGCAATTACAATGCATGCATGCATTATGTGCAGTATGGCTATTACAATGCATGTATGCATTATGTGCAGTATGGCAATTACAATGCATGCATGCATTATGTGCAGTATGGTTATTACAATGCATGCATGCATTATGTGCAGTATGGCTATTACAATACATGCATGCATTACCTTCATTAAATGAACTGCATCTACGGGAGCAAAGATTTCTTCTCTGTAGGTGAAATGATCCATTGTCTCCTCTGGTTCACACCAAAGTTCAAACTTTTCCTCTCTCTCGATACAGGCTGTCTGCCAATCAAATACATCATCAGCTGAAAACCAGTATAAACACACACATCATGTAAAAATAGACAATATGAACTCAAGATTGACAAAGAAAGGGACGTAGAGTATTTTAAATAAGAGCAGAAACTAGAGGCAATGTTTAAAAGAATATATATTTCAGTGTGGTTTGTTTCCTGGACTTAATCTGTGGTATGTTAAATATCTCTTTTCTCTCAAATACGTAATTACCCTAAATATAATTGATATAATAGTTGATGCTTGCTAAATACAAATCACACAAGAACACAATATTGTTAATTCATCTTTAAGCAATATTTGTTACCTGGCAGTATTGGGAATGGCTTCGGGAATCTTTTTGCAACTCTAATTCTCCATGTGGATTCATCCTTGACTAGTTCATTCAGTGCCTTACACACCTGGCTTAATGTCTTTATCACAAACTTTGCTTTGAGGTATGAGCATATATGCAATAGTAGCTCTGGTGGTAGAGTCAATAGATGTAATTTACTTGTACCAAAATTGGTGGGATTGTATGCCAGCATAGGATCCTGTTCATTTGTCATTGTTTGGCTTTTTAACTGCAAACAGAAAAGAATAAGTTTTCATCACACTGTTAAAAACTCAAAAATTAAGATGCAGCATAAAACAATTGTATTCAAAATTGAAAAGATAAATCTTTTTGCTTATTTAAAAAAGACTATATGGGATGTGCAGATTTACAGTGAAAACATAACGGTTCAGACCAGTTTGATTTTGTTCAAATGGCAAAGTGCTTTCTTGAAGCACATACATGGGTGTAGCCAGTCAGCACTTTATGTTAATATATTCTCAAAAATATATGTATTTATAACATTTATACATTTCATAGTACATGTGTACTATATATCAAAAGGGTGAGAAAAGAAAACACCATTCATCACAAGTCTATTTTGTGTCATTTTGTTTATTTCATTTAATGTGATGCTTAAGGTTTGTATATTTTGCTACTGGTTTAGCTCACGTTAGATGTTGAAGAGGTTCTTTTTATCATAGCCCATCTTTGCCTTCGGACTATAAACTGTAATATAGCCAGTCATATGAAATCTAAAATTGATCCCAATCCTGGGATCCCAATCCCAAAGTTTGCAGTTGTCTATCACTCATGCATGGGGATCTTAACCTTGCTGGGTTATATACTTCAGGGTAGGCATGACACTCAATAAAAGAGTAGTCTTGTTAGCTATGAGACTAATGTAATGACCCTTGATAGCAAGTTTCTACCGTACAGCCAGTCACAGTGGTAGAGCATCAGTCTAGTAACTGGCTTGTTACACAACAGCTTCCAGGAGGTGCCTCAGGTGGATGGTTCCACCACAATTTGGCATAAATGCACCAGAAGTATGACAATATATTACCTACAATACATGTTAATTAGTTTACCTGATTCACTCCTAGGCGAGGTGTCTAAATCTAGGCGCCTCTGCTACAGATCTAAATCTTGTCAAAATGAAAAACTGACAGCTGCAACCACGGACCTCTGCCAGAAAAGCTCCTCTGTGTCCAGGCTCAATAAATATACTCAAGGATAAGACACGAGATCTTCGGAAAATTTATTTTTCGTTGATTTTGGAGTCAGTTTTTCAATAAATATCACATGTCATACCTCAAACGATGCGTACTGTTGTTACCTTCAACTCCAATCACTAAAGCCAAACATCCAAGAAAGCGTCTGTTGATAAAAGCATAAAATAAGCGAGCGTATATTTAATGGAGCACTTCGGCTATCTCCGTTGTTCAAATGATTATTCCCGAAGTCAAATGCCTTTTCTGAGAATGTGACGCCACTCCGGATGACGTCACATCAGAGATTACCGAGAAGTCCCATGACGTTTCTTTAAACTCCCGTAGAAACAATAACGACGGTTTATTAGGCTACGCGATTCTTTACTTTCATTGGCTGTTTGTTGCGATGTGACGTAATTTGAGAGACGAACAACATCGGACACTGCCGGAAATTACTGAAGTGCTCCATTATCTTTACGCTCTAAAAATTTGAAATAAATGTCCCGGGAAAAGTCGAATTACAGCGTCAATAATGGATATCATGCAACCATTCAAACTAATACATAAAGAAGAGATTACAGGGTAAATATTGATCAATCAATGTCTGACAGATGGAAAAAATAACGGTCAGTACGAGGGTCATATTTTTGGGTGGTCATTTTTTTGATGTGCCATTTTTGGCTCGTGTCTCATCTTCCCATTTATCCTTTGAGCCTACTACCAACAGGGGCTGGATCTGGCTCCGGATCTGTGGCTGCAACTGACTCAGGTAGAAAGCAACTTACTTTTTCACCCATTGGAATACATGTAAAATTGGCAAAGTTCAAATCATAATTTCTCAAATCCCAGCCCATCGAATCCTCACATCCATTCAGATCATGTAGTCCTATTCAAAAACTTCCCGTTCGGTTATATGGTGAAAAAAATATCCCACGAACAAAAAAGATTTTGCTACATTTATAAGCGAGCATTGATTTCTGGGCCTGTAAAAAGCACGTAGGACCTGATTACCCCATTGATTTACTGAGACCGCCAAAAATATAATTCAATTTTTTGGTTCAAAATAATAATCTGTCAGCGGTCCCTGACACTCCTACTAGCTATCACCAAACATTAATTGCCAATACATGTACACATATACGTGCCATACATCTACAAAGTAGCGAACTAGTGTATTAAGTACTACTTTTCCTATACGATGAGCAAAACAAATCTCAAGTAGGTTATATTGACCCTATTAGTGTCATGGTTGACTGAATATGCATTTTATTCAATATGAATTTTAAAGTTCGGGGTTTTATGAAGTGATATGTACATTTTTGCTCAAATCCCCTCAGCACTTTTGATTTTATAGGGTTCTCTTGACCCCTGGGGTCATTATATTTTGTGACAATTTATACCAGACTAAATGTAGTTATTTTGTCATTAAAATATCTTATTAGAGAAACGTTCAGGAAAAGTTGCGCTATCCACAAGACTTCTTGTCACTGCACTGATAAATGTAGCAAAATAGGCAAAATAATTCAGCCTTGAGCATGAAAATTTTGAATTTTTGGACAAATTTTGGGCTATTTTGGGGGATTTTTGCCCATAACGATACTAATCTACTTAAAACAGCTGTTTAAAGTTGTACAAATTGCTTAAATGATTTATATTCTCTCATAAGTAGGACTATTTGCTACTTTACTAAACTGAACATCATTGATTTTTCGTTTTTCATGAACTTCTGATGGCTAGTTCAAGTAGCATTGTCTTTTGTGCAGGTTTACTGAATACGTCCCTTTAAAATTGGGTCTTTCGTGGGTTTAAAGGGTCAAAATGTTGGAACTTCGCACACTGTTGAACGTTTGGGGTGTGTTTCCTTTAATTTGGCAAGAACTGGATCAAATTACTTGATAAGAGAGCAGAAATGTAGCAATTTAGGCTGAAAAGTACTGTTTTCAATGAAAAAACGAAAATTGCTGACTCAGCAAAATTTAGATTGTCGTCTCCAGAATTTTAGGGGTTAATTTGCAAAACTTTAAATGGTTCCATAGAAAGATATGTGAAATATGGCTAAATTCGACATATTTCTCGAAATTCACTAATAAATGTGGTTGATATTAGGTAGAAAGCAACTTACTTTTTCACCCATTGGAATACATGTAAAATTGGCAAAGTTCAAATCATAATTTCTCAAATCCCAGCCCATCGAATCCTCACATCCATTCAGATCATGTAGTCCTATTCAAAAACTTCCCGTTCGGTTATATGGTGAAAAAAATATCCCACGAACGAAAAAAGATTTTGCTACATTTATAAGCGAGCATTGATTTCTGGGCCTGTAAAAAGCACGTAGGACCTGATTACCCCATTGATTTACTGAGACCGCCAAAAATATAATTCAATTTTTTGGTTCAAAATAATAATCTGTCAGCGGTCCCTGACACTCCTACTAGCTATCACCAAACATTAAGGTACAGCTGGAAAGTAACATTTTGGTAAAAAATTGCTATACCAGCACATGTTATTTTCTGGTACAAAATAGAGTATGAAGACATGTATCAATTTCCTTGCTTTTTTCAGGAAAGTATCATTACATTGTCTTCTTTTAGAATATCTGGTAGGCGTTCAAAGGGAACTCCAGGGAATTCTGATATTTCATACTTCCTGTTTTTCCAAATTTTCTTTCAAAGTATCCAGACAACACAGGAGCTACCATTGACCTGTTTCCAGGTTTACTAAAAGTAGACAGTGTAATGATACTTTCCTGAAAAAAGCAAGGAAATACACGAATGCCTTCATACTTAATTATGTACCAGAAAATAACATGTGCAGGTATAGCAATTTTTTACCAAAATGTTACTTTCCAGCTGAACCTTAATTGCCAATACATGTACACATATACGTGCCATACATCTACAAAGTAGCGAACTAGTGTATTAAGTACTACTTTTCCTATACGATGAGCAAAACAAATCTCAAGTAGGTTATATTGACCCTCAGTGGCTGTCAAAATAAAAAATTCACAAATCCTACTTCCGGTTCGTAAATAAGGATGTAGTTTATAATCTTTGCATGTTGTTAAACCATTTATATAAGGGTAATAGAACGCAGCTTTTTGTCACAAATCGTATGAAGTATTGAAAATGTTCAACTGGTGTATGTAACGACTAAAAATAGATGGTTGGTTGGTTAAGTCCATATATACGGTGCTATCATGTCACCTAATAGACATTTTATCACAGATGAATCATTTTCAAATCAGCCGCCATCTTATAATTTCAGCTCGGTTGTTTCCGTAACTGAATTAAATAGAATAAAAATTACCCCATTTTAACATTAAAAATCACACTTAATCATAAAAATATGATGTCCAATTATAATTCTGATACTGTCAACTGTAATTAGATCAAAAATAATTGGCTAATTAAAAATACATTCAGTTCAAATCATCGTCATTTTCCGGAAATCGGTAGAAATCAACATGGCGTGGCAGCCAGAAAAAAGCGGACTGCAGCAAATATTACAACTTTTGCGTGAGTCCCAGTCCCCAGATACAGCCATTCAAAGAGTAGTACAGCAAGTAAGTATCACACATTCTATTGGATCAGTTTTCGAACCCATTCTTTTATCAATTAACTCAAATTTTACTCTTCAATCTTCACCAATTCAAATTATTTTTCAAAAATTTCACACGTGATTTTTATTGCGTTCAAGTCTTATATTCGCATCGTTTAGAGCTTACTCACGGTTGTCTTAAAAACCGTATTTTTCAACCGCCTCGTCTCATTCAGTTACAACGGTCTATCTTCCCTTGCATTCCTATTTACTCTTCTGAACTGAAACCAGTTGAAACAATGTGATTCAAATATTTTAGACCAATTTTTGTGAATGATCAAATTCTAAACTGAAGGAGTTAATATTACTAGAGATTACTAGAGTATCTAACCAATTACTTGTCTAGACATCAAGGCATGTTTAACACAGTGAACTTTGGTTTAGGGTAAGATAAACAAGATTCAAAAAATCGTTGTAAGAATACAATGCTGATATAAATTAATTGATAAGTCGTATACAGTTGGGGACAAAAATAAATGACAGGTCGATTTTCGATCACCATTTCCTAATTATGGTCATCTGAAAGCCCATAATTTCCAATATTGTCTAGATACATATCCCTTAAAATTTGTATATTTCACATTTTGTATAATCTCATCCACTGATGTATGGCCTCTTGAAAATTCTCTTATTTTTAACATGGGAAATTCTCACTTCAGCAAATCCACCTGTCATTTATTTATGTCCCGAACTGTAGTTGGCATATTGTCTTGAATTTGAACATTTAATGTCCCAAACTCCCCCAAACTGCAGAAAAGTATACATCGTAAATCATATTTACCAAAATGAGTGTCTCCAAGGCTTCATACCAGCGTATGCATCATGCATTTGCCACGAGTCTTAGCTGAAATTTCGCAAATATGAAGTAAGGGTAATCTCCACCAGGTTTGTTTATTGTGGTTAGGTTTTAATGGTAGGTGCTCAGAAGCGAATAATTCATGTGCGCAAAATAATCAAAGAATCTGATTGGTTTAAACTTTACCGCGCGTGTGGGCCATGTTTTTTTCAAGTGATTTTGTTTCGTCCCATGGAGTTTGTGTTTCAGTGTAACTTCCGCAAAAATTGCGGACCAGTGACAGAATAAAATCACTTCAAAATTTAAGATAACTTTTAACCTATAATAGCAAAACTTATTGTTTTATTTGTGCATTCTATCTATCAGATAAGAGTGTCGGGTTATATAGGCTAATCCATTTTCGTAGGAACACTCTGTTTAGTTTCAAAACCCACCCTTTATTATTTACTGTTAACACTGTCGTCCATTAGGTCTCGGGGTAGTTATCAGGAATTTACGCCAAACAGTCAGTTGTACTCCCATATATCATTTACATGGTCAGGATCACAATGGTCATGGTCAAAATGACCCTTACCATACTGAAATAGCCTTTTCAGGACTCAGAAAATATGATTGAAGTTAAAAATTGATCGATTAAGGCCGGAAAAAGTAAGAAATTATTTTTTTTAAATTGTCTTAACTACTGAGTATGCGCAGGGTTTTAATTACACTGGACGAAAAACACTCCTGGGGCAAGTTAGGCGGCGTGGTAGCTGACAATGGTGGGAGATTCAAAAAGTTGTAAAAACTTGTAAATCAGCTGAAAGGAATTAAAAAGAAAAATTTCGATTAAACAGTATGCTGATTAGTGTCTATAATACCCTTTATATCTAAATCAATACACAATTTATTTGTGGTTTCTTATTTTGTTCCTTCAACAGTCATCTGTGGTCGTAAATCAACGTTCTATAAGCATACAAAAATTTTGAATTTAGATTGCAGCCATATTTAGATCTTGCGAGATCTCCTTGACTATCGGTAGTTACTATTTGCACCAAAATAACTTGAATTAGCTAAGTATGAATAATCTCATGATCTTTTAATGGCAATGTTCGGTAGCATGTGCAAGGAATTCAAAATGTTACACACTGATATTGAAGTTTCTCCAATTTAACTGCCAATAACACAACATATATGACCTATTGTTGCTATGAAAAATGCAAGTTATATTCAATAATTTTCTTAAACACCATTTCTTATAATTTCTCACCAGCTGGAAGTTGGGAAAACCACTACCTAAAATCCCTCATATCAGCTGGCTTTTGAGCCAGTTGTGTTCAGTAAGTAATGTCTACATGACAATTGGCGGCAATTTACACACATTTATTACCAGTTGCCTTATTCTAATTCTTTTTCTCTTTTGGTAATATCTATGTCTGTTTATGGTTTATATTAAGATCTATATCCTATTCTCCTTTACTTTCAGAAACTAGAAGAACTGAACAAATATCCTGACTTCAACAATTACTTAATATTTGTGTTGACAAAGCTTGATACAGAAGGTAACTCTTTGATGTTTTATCATTATCCCATCGAACGAAGTTCGGAGGGATATAGGGAACGCCTCCGTCCGTACGTACGTCCGTCCGTACGTACGTACGTCCGTCCGTCCGTCTGTCCATCCGTCCGTCCGGGCAATAACTCAAATACCGTTGGCCCGATTTTGTTCATATTTTGTACAAATATAGCCTATGGGGGTAGAAGTTCTGCTCGAAAGCCGATTTTCAAAATGGCCGCTCATTTCAAAATGACGGCCATTTTAGTGACGATTTTACAGTAATTTAGGTGCAATATGTAAAACTGTAATAGCAATATGTTTTAAATGTAAAAAAATTATAAAGGACAATAATAATGCTACAAATGTAGATATTTAAGAAGCACATGGCAGCCATCTTGAAAAATGGCGGCCTTTACTTGTCATTTTACGATTTTTGCTGTAACTCAAAAAATAGTGGAGCGATTTTGTTCATATTTGGTATGTCAATACTATAAGCATTGCACACTGTCTAAAGACACTTTTGGTAGAAGGCGGCCATTTTTCAAAATGGCCACCATTTTAATGTATTTTACTATAACTCGAAAAGTAGTGGAGCGATTTTGTTCATATTTGGTATGTGAATACTATAAGCATGGCACTCTGTCCTCTGACACTTTTGGTAGAAGGCGGCCATTTTGAAAAAAATTTTGAAAAAAGACCGCCATTTTAACGTATTTTACTATAACTCGAAAAGTAGTGGAGCGATTTTGTTCATATTTGGTATGTGAATACTATAAGCATGGCACACTGTCCTATGACACTTTTGGTACAAGACGACCATTTTGAAAACTGTCTATTTCTAATGACACTTTTGGTAGAAGGTGGCCATTTTGAAAAATGGCCACCATTTTAACGATTTTACTATAACTCGAAAAGTAGTGGAGCGATTTTGTTCATATTTGATATGTGAATACTTTAAGCATGGCACATTGTCTAATAAAACTTTGGGGAGTAGTCGGCCATTTTGAAAAATGGCCACCATTTTTATGTGTGTTATTTTACAAGTACGTGTGCGATTTTTCAAATATTTTAGAGGTGGCTTCTTAAAAGCATATTATTTCTTCTGATGACAACTTGGCTTGTGAGCAACCATTTTGAAAATGGTGGCCTTTCTGGTGTGTTGTTTTATGATATTTGCTATTCGTTTGTAAAAATGCCAGCCATTTCTGTTCGATGGGATTCGCTACGCTTTGGCGTTGCCGTTGTTCTGGTTTAATCTTAGCCTAATGGGTTACTCTGGTTTTGTATTTTATTTGAAATCATGGCATTGATGTGGTAAATCATCGTCAAGTAGTGATATTGACATCAGTTCACCAAATAGTGATATTGACACCAGTGAACAAAGTAGCAATATTGACCCTGTTAAACCAATGAATGATATTGAGACCATTGAACCAAGTAGTGATGTAGACACCATTGATCCCAGTAGTGATATTGACATCAGTGAACCAAGTAGTGATGTAGACACCATTGATCCCAGTAGTGATATTGACATCATTGAACCAAGTAGTGATGTAGACACCATTGATCCCAGTAGTGATATTGACATCATTGAACCAAGTAGTGATGTAGACACCATTGATCCCAGTAGTGATATTGACATCAGTGAACCAAGTAGTGATGTAGACACCATTGATCCCAGTAGTGATATTGACATCAGTGAACCAAGTAGTGATGTAGACACCATTGATCCCAGTAGTGATATTGACATCAGTGAACCAAATAGTAACATTGATACAAATGGACTAAGCTTTACTCTGACCTCATTCAATGCCAATTAAATAAAAATCTAAAAATAGATTTGTTTTTCTTCCAGATGAACCAACAAGGTCATTGAGTGGTCTTATTCTCAAAAACAATGTTCGAGTGCATTTTGATAAATTTCCCCCTGAAGTGACAAACTTTATCAAATCGGAATGTCTAACATATATAGGGGATCCATCACCCCTTATCCGTGCCACAATAGGTATTCTCATAACAACTATCGCATCAAAGGGTGGATTAGCGCAGTGGATGGATCTCTTGCCCAGTTTGTGCCAATGTCTCGACTCTGACAACTATAATGTATGCGAGGTAAGTAACTTTTGTTTTGCAATTTTTATTTTTGTGGAAATGAATTAACTCCCTTTGTCTCTCCATGGTATTTCTCATTGCATTTAAAGGAATATTCCTTGCCAGACCCTTTCTCTCTTGATATGGTAGCTATAATCATATATATAGTTTCCATATTTAGCAAAACATGGGAAAATGTTTTAATATGGTCAATATTGATCATTTAAAAATCTAGTGCTTATTTCCAGTGAGCTGCCATCTTTTAAGATTTCTTGCAGGAAGTGATGTCATCAACTCTCAACTTCTATAACCTTGCCCATCACAGTATAGGGAAGTAGCACAAAATCACTACTAGACAAGTGATCATTACTTTCTGTGCAAAAATATTTTCAGGGCTTGTCAACTTAGAATAAAAGAAGAGATTTTCAGAAGGATTAAATAAGATACAAAGTTGAAAAAGAATATTTAGCCGGTTTTGATATTCTTAATAGCTCCTCACCTAATGTTATATGCAAAGCTGAGAGTCGATGACATCACTTCCTGTGTGAAATTTTAAAAGATGGCAGCTTACTGGAATTGAGCATCACATTTCTAAGTGATCAAATTTGACCATATCAAAACATTTTTGCGTGTTTTGCTAAACATGGCAAGCATATATATGGTTATAGCTACCACATGAGGAGAGAGATGGTTTGGCAAGGAATATTCCTTTAATGGTGATGTTGAGAAAAGCGTATCCCCATATTTTACATGTAATTCGGTGATCTCCCCAGGATTTTTTCTCAAGTGCATGCAAAATTCTCATTTTCACAATTCAGACCAAAATTGGTCAAACGTTGCCCATTTTTCATGATTTTTTATGTCACCGCCAACAAGTAGTGACATATTGTTATGATCTCCGTTTTTTGATGGCGGTTGGCGATCGGCGTCTGTAACAAATTCTTACAACTTCCTGTTACTGTTTAGACTGACTTAAATTTTTTTCAAAACCATCTACATGTTTTCACAAGTTCAAATCTCAACATATATAAGATTTGACCTTCAAGGTCAAATAAAGGTCAAAAAGGTCTTTTTTAACTTGCTTCAAGTTGACCAATTTTTTTCAAAATCATCTACAAGTTATCAGAAGTTCAAATCTGACTTAGGATTTGAGGTTTGACCTTCAATAACCTGATCAAGGTCAAAAAGGTATTTTTCAAGGTCAAATAAAGGTCTTAAAGGTCTTTTTCCAACTTGCTTCAAATTGACCATTTTTTTCTTTCAAAATCATCTACAAGTTATCAGAAGTTCGAATGTGACTTTAGATTTGAGATTTGAACTTCAATGACCTTATAAAGGTCAAAAGGTATTTTTTCAAATTGACCATTTTTTCTTTCAAAATCATCTAAAAGTTCTCAACAGTTCAAATCTGACTATAGATTTGACCTTCAATGACATTCTCAAGGTCAAAAAAGATTTGACCTTCATTGACATTCTCAAGGTCAAAAAGGTATTTTTTATCTTGCTTCTAATTGACCAATTTTTTTTTCAAAATCATCTACATATTCTCAAATTGACCATTTTTTCTTTCAAAATCACCTACATATTCTCAGAAGTTCAAAATTGACATAAGATTTGAGTTTTCACCTTCAATGCCCTTCTCAGTGTCTAAAAGGTATTTTTTCAACTTGCTTCAAATTAACCAATTTATTTTTTCAAAATCATCTACAAGTTCTCTGAAATTCAAATCTGACTTAAGAATGAACTCATAATATTGTGAGCAACTAGGTGGTGATATTTTGTCATGTTAATGCCTTGTCTCTGTATTGACATTCTTTCCAATCACCAAAAAATTATGTATGTTTGAAAATTTAGGAGTTTTTGTGAAAAATTGGAGGTGTGTCTTAAATTATCTGAAGTTTCTCCAAAAATAATTCAAGGTTTTTACGAAAACTCAGGAATTTTTGAAAGTAGGTTTTTGACTAATAATCAGAGTGAGTACTAAGAGTTCTTGATTTCTCTTGATATGATATAAATTGAGACTTGTCGGATAATCAGTTGCTGAGTTATTGGTTAGAAAAACTGGGTTTTAGTGTCTTATAAATAGTGTTCTGTCAACAGGTCTAACATAAGCTGCTTTTGACAAGTAATTCCCCTACATAATGCAACAGGAGTCTCACAAGAGTGATAATAGAGGCCATAAAGTCTAGGAGAGGGTTTCTTATATTCACGGCAGTTCTCTGAGGATATATAACCGTAATCTATTTAGAGATCATTAATGTCAGAAGAAACCATAAACATACCTAGCTTTATAGTCTTGAATATACAATCGACAACCAGTAGAGAAAACTAATAGGGACTTTCAGAGTAAAAATAGCTTGATTTAGGATTGTTCTGTGCATTTTGGTAGAGCTAGAACCACATATGTTTTGGTGATTTTGTGACTGTCATGGTATCTTTCACTTGCTTGCATTCATTTTCTAAGAATAACATGTGCTGTAGAAGGATATCACTCATTTGATGTTACTAACTGTGGTCAACATTTTTTTAGTCTTTCTCGTTTTTTTATTCTATATATTTGAATTCTGTTATCACTTTCGGCTCTTTCTTCTGGAATAACATAAGAGTTATGAGTTTTTTACCATAAGGAAGTCCCTGGGCATGCAATTAGCTGACAGCCATTATTCAATAGAGACGGACGAATCAATATGGTGTACAGCTCTACTCAGGTGGTTTCTATTAACAAATGTCTGCTACTTTCCCTTAGATTCTATATTGATGTTCAGTATTGAACCTTTATAGTAATATCTCCACAATCTACTTACTTTATGCCCTTGCTAAAGTTGTTATCTGCCAGCAATATGATCTTGATTTTAATTGAGTGCAAATGGAAATCTGATCTATGATGGACTGTGCTTTGGTAAAGCTGGCAGTTTCTCTTGTGTCTGGCAGACAAGACTGAGATTAATGCTCCAAATCTAACATTTCTAATATCTTATATGCAAGGTAGAATTTGTCTAAACTTGGGAGAAATTGCAATTGATATTCATGATTAATCATTCACTTTGTTCTCCTGTCCCAAATATAATTGTCTTAGAAATGATCTATGATGTTCTTTCATGATATGCAGTTAAGGTATATGGCTTGCTTTAATGCTATGCTATAATGCATGGAAAGGGGAACAGTAAAACCCTGAAACAGTTTATTAATACACCAAAAGGTTCTAATTCTTGTCAGAAAAGTAATTGTTACAATAATATAAGATAGGACTTGCACTGTTTTTATTGTGCCTAACTGATACAAGAATGTATTGTACATGTATAATATTAATCATTTTTGAAAACCCTTTCCAGTCGTTTGATTTTGCTTTTTCATATGTATAATCCATCGATCAAGCGGGCTTGAAGCATGACTAGAACATTGTCTACTGGAGAGACAGTTATCAGTTACAAAACTAAAACGTCTTATTTTGCAAAATGGGCAATATTGATATAGCAAATTTGAGTTTATAACTTCATATGAATGAGAAATGAATTCAATTTTGTATCATTTAACAGTTCTTATGTAATAATTTAACAAACAATAAAATGATTTTTCTCTCAAAGTACTCCAGTTGTCATGATTTCTTATATCTGATATGGATGCAAAATTGTTTCAGTAGGGTGCAAGACGAATTTCTAAATATTCAGCTGCGTGCAGCACCAGCTACAAACGAAAAAGATTATATAGAATATATGGAAAGGGTTGTTTTGACTTTTTGTGAAAATAATATTTTCTTGCATAAATTCTTTCTTATGTGTAAACTGTCAGTTATATGATGTTTCCATAGAAACATAATGTAATTTATGAACATCTCAGCATCTAACAGATTTTGTGATCCTCCACCAGTCATAATGTTTGTTTTTCATATCTTGATGGCTTTATGTTTATACAAGGGCCGAGCAATATATTCGCTACTCTTTGCTCTCAAATTGTTAATAATAAAGTATCTTACCTGAAATTTTCCAAAATAATAGAAAAAACATTTTTCTGTAATATCACCAAATGTGCATTTATTTGGTTACATCCGTAATATTTTACATGGCATTGAATATTGGTTGATAGTGACCACTGGAGCTGACATTTGTGACAATGTTTCAGAAAACAACTTTTATACAAAATGTCATTAACTCCTTAACGCCTGATCCTTAAAGTGGTTAAAATTGGTGAAATGTGCATTAAATATTAATTTAAATGCTTTTTATTCAATATTATACAAATATATGACTGTCATATATCAAAATGAAGAGAATTACCCATATTTCTCATTTTTACCTAATTTGCATAAATTATGCAAAAATAATGATGTCATAGTGACATCACAAGGCTGAAATTGAGCATTTTATTTCATTAAATTGAGTCATATCTCTACAGTCAATACAGTTTTTCTCAAATACTGTTCAATTATTGCAATTTTGAAAAACATGGATTTGTTCTCCTTGATTTAAGCTTGAAAATGGTATATTACATGATGGGTATAAGGAAGATTTGGTGTAACTAGATTATGCTAAATTTTGCGATGCCGAGCCAAAAATTCCAAGAATCGTGGAAAATCTCGGAAAATTATGTCGAAATGTTTAATTGAAATATGTAATCTATAACAAATAAACTTTTAACTTGAATAATTTTTATTATTATATATAATAGGCCATACTAAGGGGGATTGCTCATATACTGTTTTTGCCTAATTTGCATATATTATGAAAATATAGCGATGTCAAGATGACGCAAGAACGGTTTGTTCCGTCAACTAAATTCCATATTCAGGAATAAATAATTTTTATTACCCGAGATTCAGTTGATAAATGTTTAATAACCCAGTTCTGTTTCATAACAGCTTTAAAATGATAAACTACATGAAGCATAGAAAAATAATATACTGTCACGACTCACTAGAATAAACCAGACGATCTGCAATAAGGTACTGATATTTGACAAATCAATGAAAATCATGACTCTACAATGTTTTGAAGAAATAATAGATGTATAAAGATGTGTTAAAAGCAAATTTCTGCTTGTGAATGTCTGTTTGTTCATGTACTCATTATGTTTGATTGCTAATAAACCAGATAGATCATGAACATGCAAGTAATCCTCAAACTGCTTGGCCTTCCATGGGTTTCCCCAACAAAGGCTTCTGATACACCCCCCCCTGAATCCCTATGCTCCCCCCTGAATTCCTATGCCCCCCTCCCTATACTACTCAACATTTTTCAAAATATATTTGTGTTGATTGTCCTACACACCTTGCAACAAGATTTTAATGTGCCATGACATCTTACAGTAGCTATAAGAGTGAGGAAAGACGAAAAATAGTGAAATAAATAAAGCTTTTCACCTATTATCGCCCACTATAAAATCGGCCATAAAAATTAACAGAGTGAATTCATCTGCCATTCAAGGTTTTGTAGGTGCATAAAGGTAGTAAATTTAACAATATAGTAACCCTTTACACCCTATATATGTGTTTCAATTGGAAATATTGATGAACTGATCTCACAAAGTTTGGATATTGAGAAAATATTTTTAGATTGAAAATTGAATTTTTCTCAGAAATCGGGCCTTGATTGACTTGAATGAAAACGAACATATTCTTACCTTTTTCATCAATCTAGCTCATCTTTTCTACGTTCGCTGATACCCCTAGTATTATAATACTTGAAACTAGTTTCAGAAAGTGCATCTGTTGCCCCTAGATGGCTTGATATTTCAATAATTATATTTTAAATTTCGCGGTTCAGCCTCTTGGTCGAACCGGAAATCAATAATTTCAAAGATATTTAAATTTTTTCTTTTGCATTATTTTTTGGTCAATCACAACAAAATTGGTCAAAATAAGTGAACAAAGCAGTATTCTATGAATGTATTTATATTTATTCACAACTTTATATAACAATTATAGGGAAATAGCGTGGAAAGATGCAATTATATTTTGGTAAGATTTTTCTTTATCGGGTGACGTCATAAACCCGTCAAATCGATCATATATGATCGATTAGGCATGACGGAGTTAAGACAGTTACTCCTCATTCCATGCCTCATTCTCAAAATAGTGTCCATCTGCAGCTATGCATTTTCTACATCGGGAAAGCCAGTCTTGATAGGCCTGTTGCAGTCTGTTTCCATTTCCATATAGGTCTTTTAGGGCCTTATGGACGGCCTCAACCACTTCTTCACGGTCACCAAACCTCTGCCCGCGTAGCTCATTCTTCAGTTTGCTGAAAATTTCAACGTCGCACAATGCAAACCTTTTAAACCAATGTCTAATAAAGTAATAGCTCCCACAAGCTTCCCCATATGTAGTTCTACAGTCCTCCACAGCTTTTTTTAATGTGTGTCCCTTTTTCACTGATATTTTTATACAAAGTCTCCGTTCTTTTAGATTTGCATTTACCATGCTTGCTTCTTGATGCAACTCAGGAAGCAGAGTCTCCCTTTTGTTTGAAAAGAACATCTATGACATCACAACCATTGTTCTGAATATTGTATCAATGTCCAGTAAACAATGTTTATAAAAATTACCCAAACTGAATGTTTTTGTTATGAGAAATGGGCATATAAAGATATTGTTGCATATGCAATTGCAGTAAAATTATGGGCAGCTCCGGTGGCTCATTCCTCCCGTTGCTATGACAACCATAATTTTTTGCCATATTTGGCAATGGGCTTGAAAATGGAATCAAAAGATGCGGAATTCTACACTCTATGTCTGTACCAAATTTCAATGGAAATAAACAAATATAAAAGAAAATAAAGCAAAAAGTAGCGAATATATTGCTCGGCCCTTGTACATTCATGCATTTACAAAAAGTAGAAAATACAACTTCATACTAAAATACCTTAAAGCATGCACAATGGCTGCTAATTCTTTAATGTTTGTTATTAAATAATTTAATTATCATAACTTAATGCTGGACTGTCAAGAATTCCCCTTGTCAGTTGGTTGTTAATTGGTAAAAACAAAAGTCTCACTTTCTAGTATCTCAGTGGCATGCTTATGGAAGTGTGCAAGATCATCTAGGTCGTGATATTTGATATTAATAAAGATAACATCTTACAGCACTTGGTTGGTAATAGAACTGTAAGATAATTGAACCCATGTGTTTCACCTTGCCAGAATTTTACATAAGACCAAGGCCAACTCACTTGAATTTCATCAAACACATTTCATAACATAAGTAAGTTCTACTGGAACGGGCCAGAAGTGTTCTGATTGGCAGATGTTCATATTTTGATTTTTTAACATAGAATTGTATGGTATTTATTTTAAAAATTGGGCCGAAATGGTAATCACATTGAGGGGTGTTTGGATGAGAGAGATGTTTGGAATCAGGTATTACTATACATACATGTATTTGGCAAAGGATTTGTTATCCCAAGTTGTAGTGATAATGTCCCCTGAATATTCTTACATTATTTTGAACTAGGGCCGTGCCATTCGACCGGAATCGGTCCGAACCGCGGACTTTTGTTAAAATACCGGAATTCGGAATTTTAATATCATGTTCCGAAGGGTTTCGGAACAATATCGGACCCTTACCTTAGTACTTGCTTTGAATCGTTAATATCCGTGACCATTGTTCCTCCAGTGATGTTTTCCTTCAAACTACATCCAATTTGCATGTGTATTACTCGCATAAACAAAATAAATAGGGGAGAAATCAACAGAAATCAAGTTTTGTTTTACGAACTTTGACCTTCGGGTCAGAGCAGCCGGAAGTGAAAACAAGTAGAAAAAAGATCGAATTTTCTCTCTTTTTACAGATTTTAGAGTCTATTTCTTTCGTAAAAACATTCAAACTTGCTTGACAGGAAAGGTAAGTGTTAACCTGACAAACTTGGACGACGATATCGTCATGATCGCCGTCGAACTCACTCATACATAATTATTTTCATTTGTGAACCAAAAGGGGTTCCGAAAGTTCCGATTCCGTGAGACCAAGTTCCGGTTCCGATTCCGAACCGTCCGAACCGGTTCCGGCACAGCCCTATTTTGAACATGTATGTGTATCATTGATTTGATTATCCTCGTCTCTTTCTACAATTCCATATAAAGTTCTCACTCTTGAAATGAAAGATACTGAATAGTCTACTTTCTCGTTTATCAGTAAGTTAAAAAACAAAAGAAGGCTACTGGGTAAGGAGTAGACTACATATACTGATGATTTCAGTTACATAGTTGAAAGTTGGCACAAAAAACCGGCAATTTTTAGAGAAATGGTTATTTAGCGATTTTGTCATATGAAAAATCTTGTCTTTTCACATTAATATAATAAAGATTGCAGTATGAGACAATATTGAGCCTTGCAATAATGATTAATCAAATTGAATAAAATAAGACATTTAACCTTGGGAAGATTAATTTGTTCAATAGAAATCTAAAGGATTTATGAGATAGCATAATGAAATCCTCTTTTCTCTGCTATCTGTATTCTCCAGGACCAGATTGAAATAACATTAGACGTGAGTTACTATGACAACTCTTTTAAGCTTTACCATTGGAAAATGAAATATCCTAAAGAATAAATATGTCGTGTTTAGCCTGAAGACAGTTGCTAATAATGATGAGCTTGCAGCCAAATTGCTTCATACGCTCTATGATTTATTACATCTATTTTAATCAAGACTCGAGCACTGGCTAATTTAGGAAGCGGGTTGATAAGTGGGAGAAATCGGCAAATTACTTACTAAGGGGATCAATTTGTCAAGTTTCCCAAGAGATTCTTTCGTGACAATGCTTCGGTTAATGTAATTTCAGTGCGAAATTAATTTTTGTAGGAATATACCCTCGCATTTTTGCAGAAATTAATAAAATATTATCAGGCCCTAATAATGCATTAACAGCAGAACTGTATGTATCACATGATGACAAACTCTTGCATTTAGAACAAGTCATTCATCTGTCTTATAACATAGATGTATAATCTTGCATATCGCATATACATGAATAAAAACCAACCAAAGTTTACGTGTGTGTCTACATGTATTTTTATTTGTATTGTTTTAGGGAGCCTTTGGTGCCCTTCAGAAGATATGTGAGGACTGTGCGGAGAGTCTAGACACAGATGCCTTGAATAGACCCCTTAACATACTCATACCAAAGTTCCTCCAATTCTTCAAACACACTAGCCCAAAAATAAGGTAATAAAATGTATAGCATGTTCTTGTACAACATTTGGTAATTTCGGAAATTATGTGCTGTTAATTCGGCCTATAGAAGATATTCACATGCATTGATGATAATTAATGAGGAAAATTATATCTGATTATACATTATACAAATTCTTATTAACCTAAAAAGACTTTGGCAGTACTTCAATCATTTATATAAACTTTCGCTTTCTTGTTTTTCAGTTTTATTATATTTATTCAAAATATTTTAAGCTGTAAATTATGCCAAGCATTAGATGCATTATAAGCTTGCAATGTGTATATGTTAGTTGTATATTAAATAAAAGTATTAGGTCGAAATGGCTTTCTTGTATAAAATATTTTAGTGTTTTTATGGTTTCCATAAAAGTGGACTGTTTGGGGTATTCTCATTTGGAGAACTGAATGTTAAAAATGGTTTTATAGATTTTGGTCTATCTGACATGTGAGATATTGATCTATTTGTCACAAGTGTTTGGCAGAGGATTTCAATTGAATGCAGAAGAGAAATTCTATCTTTAGGAGACACTTTTGCTAATTTGATTAGAGGGCGTCCCTTGAAGTACTGTGTACTTGTATGGAAATTCCCTTGAATTCAATCATGAATTGGTGAACATCAAAATATTACCAAAAATGACTCTTAAAATTCATTGGATTTTTTGAGATATAAATGTTAATTGGAATGAGATGTTTAATTTCATGAAAATCGTGAAAATGATCTATTGGGTAAATGCTTGCAAGTTTTGCCAAGGGTCAAACTTCAATTGATCCTATGCATGAGAGATTGGCTAATTGTTTTTTCTAGCCTTTGTGATTTGCTACTGTAATTCATTGTGACAACCTGATGCTTTTATTTGATTACTGTTTGAAGTAGCTCATAATTCAACCTTACTTTTGCACATTAGATCAATTGCTTAACACGGTTATTCTCTTTTATATATGTACAGTAAAACCTGTATATTCAAACACCTCGTGAACACATCTGTCCAATTTTTCATCTGCCATACACTTCCATGTTACAAGAAATCACAATGAGACCCGTCAATTCTTACAATTTTGGGTGGTTCACAGTGTCGTTAGGATGAGACAGGTTTTCAGTTTTGTATGTGTGGTCGCCGGGTTGGCCTAGTGGTTAAGGCATTGGTCTGAAAAGCAGGAAGTCTGGCTTCAGGCTGAAAAGTAGAGGTCTTGGATTCAAACCCAGATCACAGCACTTCTTGTGATTTGTCTTTGCCCTATGACTGCTGACCTATACCGCCGATTACTAGAGTGCTGCTAACTCGATAAAAGGCTGGCGCTGGTTAGAATTGTCTATGGTTCTAGCCAGAATAAAGATACCAGTTCTTCAACTCGACAATGGGACTAATATGTCATGATATGACATCTAAAGAGTCAATAAAAGATATATATATATATTCATGTATATTAAGACAAAATATGTAATGTCATTTCAGATCTCATGCCATAGCCTGTGTCAACCAGTTTATTATAAGCCGCACACAAGCTCTTATGCTCCACATAGATGGCTTTATCGAGGTAAGAATTTTATGTCCACGTGCTGTGATCCATGGCATATCATATTGAATGATTGGTTCGTTCTCTGTAAAGACAGATTGGAAGAAAAATAGCTTACAATACTGATGAGCTTCTAATATTCTTTGTCAGTATTTATTTCCAATCTACTATCTTGGATGTAATGTATGCTAGGATGATAAAGAACTCTCTCTTACTGAAAAGGGTTTGCTCCCTCATGTGGAAAGATGAATCTGAGCATTTACGTGAATTAATCAATAAATAGTAATAAATATTTTAATAAACTGTTTTTGTCTTCGTTTACTGGACTTAGTATATTTTTAATTGTAGAGTCTGTTTTTCCTGGCCACTGATGAAGATCCGGAAGTGCGGAAGAATGTCGCCAGGGCTCTCGTTATGTTGGTGGAAGTACGCATGGATAGACTTATGCCACACATTGATAATATCATTGATGTAAGCAAACTTCATTTTGAATAAACATTCTTGGTGTACGCAAATGTCACATATTTCACCATTGATTTAAGCATGGGTCCCTTGATCGCCCATGATTTAAGTTAACAGCAGTGTTTCAACTATTGCGTATAATGATGAGATTTGAACTCTCTCACTGAGTCTTATGAAGTCAAACGTTCTTCTGAATATGCAATGAAAATACCATTGACTGTTCCTATTACATTTATACTTAAAGATAATCTTAAAATGTGTTTTGGGAGAATATTACAATGTAGGATTTGGAATGTAGTGTTAAATAGTTCTGGATTACAAATAAATATCATTTGAAAGATATGTTACCTTCACAGTTTGGACTGTTTCACTAGATTTGCAACTGTAATTTGCTGTTTTTATTTTAAATAACATGTGTTCTGGATGAATATATACATCAGCAGACATGAATTGAGAAAGAAATAACTGATAATGTACTGAACTTCTCTACAGGTAAGAATTTGTGTTTTAGTATATGCTTCAGCGAACCCAAGATCCTGACGATGGTGTAGCCCTAGAGGCCTGTGAGTTCTGGTTAGCCCTAGCTGAACAGCCAATATGTAAAGAGGCCTTAGCACCACATATCAACAGACTGGTACCTGTGCTTGTAAGAGGAATGAAGTATTCTGAGATAGACATTATACTGCTGAAGGTATGCTTCTTGCTTTAGGAGAATCACTTTGTGGATTTGCGCAACATGCTTATTCCCCTGGGGAGGATTATATCCTAGGATTAAATTGTGCACAATATCTAGTCTGATATAGAATATTGAGGGCTTGTTCAGTTCTAATACATATATTATATTGATTCTCAGTCTTAACAGGTTTCTCATTGATATAATTGTGAATTGCTTAAGTAGATATAATCAGCTGTATATTTTTCATAATATGAACTATAAAAACTTGTTCAAGTTAATTAACTAGATATCTATTCTTGTAGCCAGGTTTCTATTGAGGCAACTTGTTAAGTGTGATAATGGCCTACGGAGATGCTAAAATTGATCAATAATCGAACTGACACGGGAATAACATATTTTCAGCTAATTAGGTCTCCCACGTGTCTGACGTAATTATTAACTATCCCTGGGAACTTCCTGTTGTGTTAAAGTTAGTTTACATTGAAGCAAAAAAATAATTGCATTTTGTGAAATATTGCATATAATGATGAGACTTGAACTCTCTCACTGAGTAACAAATGAGGCCAAATGTTCTACTGAATATGCAAAATATGTCTTGATGCGGATTTTTCATGAAGTTTTTGTTTGTACTCTCCCGCCCATACAAGATTATTTACTAATCTTCACATCATGTGTTTGGTAGTTGTGTTCGGTTAAACTTCGAAAGAGTTGTTTAAATTAATGGAAATATAATTTATCAAGGAAACTGCTGAAAAATTTCTCAAAACGGGAGAAAAAACCCAAACCTGTTGCTTATCTAAAATGTATGATTAATGATGGTGTTCCCATACAGGGTGATGTGGAGGAAGATGATATGATACCTGATAGGGAGACAGACATTAAGCCACGTTTCCATAAAGCAAAGGCGCATACACAGAAACATCAAGAGGAGGAGCAGGTCAATGGGGTGAGTAGACCATTAATAGAGACAAATACAGTGAAACTTGTGCAGTGGAACACCTGTAAGTGGAATATTTTTCACATCAGTCCCATGAGCCATTGTTTCTATTCTGCTGTATGTTTATCTATGCTTGGTAGTAAATGCATCTAATGATGAGATTTGAACTCTCTCACTGAGTCTCATGAAGTCAACCAGTTCCTCTGAATATGCATTGTACTCAAAGCACAATAGGTCTATTCTACAAGTATGAGAGACAACAAAGATATGTGTGTTTTATAGTGTATTCATATACCTTCACTAAAGCTATACTATATTGTGTAATAAATGATTGTTTCTGCAGCAAAATCAGGAAGACTATTCTGATGATGAAGATGAAGATGATGACACTCTATCAGACTGGAACTTAAGTAAGTTTGTTATATAACAACATGGAAGAATTTGTATATGCTGGCTAATTAAATATATTATGAAAATATGTTATGGGCAGCTTCAACTGGTAAAATTTTTTTAACTGGTTTATTTACAAGGATATTGGCCATATAAAACTATATATACCTTGTTGTACAGAATGAAAACCAGTGCATGATGATGAAATTTGAACTCTCTCACTGAAGTTTATAATGAAGTCAATTTAGTTCCTGAATGCACAGATTCATCAAAAGTATCAACAAATATGTAAAGGTTGCTTATGATATCAACAACTATGTAATGGTTGCTTATGATATCAACAAGTATGTAGCGATTACACAGATTCATCAATATTATCAACAATCATATAATGGTTGCTTATGATATCAACAATCATGTAATGGTTCAACAACTATGTAACTGCTTATGTATCAACATAATGTAATGGTTGCTTATGATAATGCTGAGTTTTCATCCTGTTTGTTATTTATTTGTAGGAAAATGTTCAGCTGCTGGATTAGATGTCCTTGCCAATGTCTTTCATGATGACATTCTGCCATTCATTTTGCCCATATTGAAAGAGACTTTATTCTCCAATGATTGGGAGATCAAGGAATCTGGCATCTTGGTTTTGGGGGCTATTGCTGAAGGTAAGTCTTGATATCCCATTAGAGCAACTCAACAATACGAGGGATTTCAATGTTTAAACACTTCAAATGAACATTTCAGAAATAATCACCAAACAACTTGAGTTAAAACATGCATGCGGTGATGATAAAGAACTCTCTCTTACTGATGCTTAGTGAGGAAAGCTTCTTCTGAGCATGGTTGATTACAAAAACGTTAGAAACAAATGCATAGTAACTAAACTGTAATACTCGTGTTACTTGATGAAGCAGAAGGTGTCAGGATGAACCAAGTTTCCATTGAAAAATAAATATCAAAAATGTTGAAGGTTTAGAAGTGCTCAAGGATTTCCTCTTATTGTAGGTTGTATGAATGGCATGGTGCAGCACTTAGCAGAGCTTGTACCGTACCTTATCACATGTCTCTCAGACAAGAAGGCCCTGGTCAGGTCTATCACATGCTGGACCCTCAGTCGCTATGCACACTGGGTCGTCATGCAGCCACATGAGTCCTTTCTCAAACCATTGATGACTGAGGTCAGTATTAGTTCCCTTTTTGTGTATTCTGCTTGTATGGTTTCTGGGAAAATCTGATGGATTTGATTTAAACTTAGATTGAATAATTTGAAGAAAGGGAATCTGAAAATGTTCTTATTTCATTGGCAAGGGTGATTATTTTTTATTTTTGGATTGAGATGAACTCTATGATGTTTATCCTTGTATTCGTACTGTCTGACCTGCATCTGAAAACAATTAATGTGCTTTTTTCATGAATAAATGGACTTTTGGTTAAAACCGAATGTTTAAGTAATCAAGTCCAACAATCAAGTGTCACCTTAAAGTACAACTATATTATTGCAGCTTCTGAAGCAAGGGTTGCCTGCTTACAAGTTCAGAAAATAATCTGGCAAAAAGGCCAAGTTATTGTTCTAGTTTCACCTCAAATACTGTAAATCACACAATTATATGTATGCTATTGTAGTTACTGAAGCGTGTGTTGGATGCAAACAAGAGAGTCCAGGAAGCAGCATGCTCAGCATTCGCTACATTAGAGGAAGAGGCCTGCACTGAACTAGTCCCCTATTTAGGATTCATTCTAGAGACTCTAGTCTATGCCTTTGGCAAATACCAGCATAAGAATCTGTTAATATTATATGATGCCATTGGGACATTAGCTGATTCTGTAGGGCATCATCTAAACAAGGAGGTATGATCATACACTGCAATTGTTGTACGACTAGTGTTGGATTTTCATATAAGTATGTAGTTTGAAAGTATTGTATTTGTGATACCATCCCTCTGCAATCAATTTATGGGCCTAAGGTTTCACTTGGGTGATGATGCATAACTTGGATTGAACGCTATTGCAGCAAATGATGTTTATCCTTGTATTCGTACTGTCTGACATGTTGTATGCATTAGGCCTGATATTTGAGAATTCACTATATGTATACTGATAGCATATAACAGTAAACATATTTGATCTGTAATCTAATTGCAGATAGTCATACTCTCTGTTATTGTTATTAAAATGTAATTTTAGAGTAAATAAAAGTGTGATGGGATTGTAGGATAGCATTGCATACCAAAACTAACCAAAACATCTCTTCATTGCAGGAGTACATCAACATGCTGATGCCACCACTTATACAGAAATGGAATGTTTTGAAAGATGAAGATAAAGATCTGTTCCCATTGTTGGAGGTAAATAATAATTGTTTAATGGATTCACAGCTCATATGATGCTTTTTCTTGCATTTACATTTTCCTTACAGTTGAACCGATGGGTTCGTTCAATCATAGTGTCATATTTGAATTTTGTTTATATAATTGTATTGCAGTGGAACCGATGAGTTCGTTCAATCAAAGTGTCATATTTGAATTTTGTTTATATAATTGTATTGCAGTGGAACCGATGAGTTCATTCAATCAAAGTGTCATATTTGAATTTTGTTTATATAATTGTATTGCAGTGGAACCGATGAGTTCATTCAATCAAAGTGTCATATTTGAATTTTGTTTATATAATTGTATTGCAGTGGAACCGATGAGTTCATTCAATCAAAGTGTCATATTGGATTTTGTTTATATAATTGTATTGCAGTGGAACCGATGAGTTCATTCAATCAAAGTGTCATATTGGATTTTGTTTATATAATTGTATTGCAGTGTCTGTCCAGTGTGGCCACCGCCCTACAATCTGGCTTCTTACCATACTGTGAACCTGTCTTCAAACGTTGTCTCTCCCTTGTTGAGCAGACACTTCAGCAGAGCCTTGTAAGTTTACATGACTTGTACCATTCTATTAATCATGAACATGATATTGTCTCAAACCAATCACAATGCTATACAAATATGGTGTAACTCTATACAGAGGTCATCATTAGATGTTAAAAACGCAGGTGCATTTCTGTAAACATTTTCAAATTGATGATTTTAGAATTACAACAGTGGATTTATAAATATTCATTGCTAAGAATATTATAAGAATGCACCCCTGGTAAATACAACAAAAAGAAGTAATTGATTTGATTTGATTGGTGCTGATGTGTGCATGGATGATGATATATAAATTGGATTGAAAGCTTACAGAGTTTGTGATGTTTATCCTTGTATTCGTACTGTCTGACATGTAGCATCAGCACATTATATAGAACATACCATTGGCAAATAACAGGACTTACAGAAGATAATTCAAATTAAATTAACATTAAAACTCAAAAACTCAAAAAATGAGTTACTTTTCTTGATTTCAAAGTTGGAGTTGCTATGGTGACTAATGTTTTATTCATGTAGTGATTCGTAGCTGATTGTGTATTTTAGAACAACATGACAACGCCAGACCAGTATGACCCTCCAGACAAGGACTTCATGATTGTTGCCCTGGATCTGCTCAGTGGTCTGGCTGAGGGACTGGAACAACACATTGAGGCTTTGGTTGCCAGCAGTAACATTCTCAATCTGCTTTACCAATGCATGCAGGTATGTAAAAGTGAATTATTTTATGGGTTTGCGTCAGCGTAGTATGGCAGAACTATCCAGTGCTCTCCTTAGTACTTTTGCTTGCTGAGGAGGTCACTGCTATCAGTACACCACCTTAATACTATTAACTCATTGTCAGTAATATGATGTGAGATTGAATGTTATGGTGTTTATTTCAATGCAAAACATATTTCTCTACCTTTTATTTCATTTTTTAGGATCCTATGGCTGAAGTCCGGCAAAGTTCATTTGCTCTGTTAGGTGACCTCACAAAAGCCTGTTTCCAGCATGTCAAGCCGTTCATCCCAGATTTCATGCCTATATTAGGGCAGAATTTGAACCCCGAGTTTATCTCAGTTTGCAACAATGCCACGTGGTCCATTGGAGAGATAGCCATACAGATGGGTATGTACTTCATAAACCCATGTAGAATCTACTTTCCTAATAATGTCTTTAGCCCAAAATTGATTTTAGATGCATCAATTTAAACATTCCATAAGTCAGGCTTGAGGTGATGATACTTTTCTAATATGATGAGACCCAGAGGTCCATGACACTGTATTCGTACTCTGATCAGGCCATCAGAATGATATGATTTCTTAACACCCTGTGTGCAATGAAAGCAACCTATCTTTCATGGATCATAGACCCAATATTTTGTCAGTTTTTGTCACCACCGAGAAGTTGTGAGAAGCAACCATTGTTTGTGACTGGCCCTCAGTAGTCAACAGCTCAGTGTGAAATTATTATTTATGTTTAGGAGAAGATATGGGTCCACACGTGACAGCTGTCTTAAATCAACTGATAGAAATCATCAACAGACCAAACACACCAAAAACTCTCCTAGAAAACACAGGTAAATGTCTCTATAGCAACCCTACTAGGTTACCTTAGTAACAACACTGACATCATAGCATCACTTTTGTAATATAAGTCTTGTAAGGCATGTTGTGCTATATATGATTGTATACCATTATCAGATTATTTTATCATGATTTCTTCAATTAAAAAATGCATGATTTGTTTTACCAATGTATTGTGACATATCAATGATTTTGAGATAAACTGCACTTTGGATAAGAGTAAAAAATTGAGAAAATTTACTTGGCAACAAAATCAGACAAATGCAAAGGCATTCGACATATTATCTTTGGAAAGAAACATTGAATTGATCAATAATACCTTTTCACACTTGATGCTTTTGTCTGTTAAGTTTCCTCAATGTACATATGATGTATATGATCTTATATTGGACCTGTAGTGGGCTCATGCCCTTTCTACCTAAGTTGCTTGAGTTGCCTAGAGTGAACATATCTACTTAAGCTGTCTAAAACTATAGCAGGGCTACTTCTGTGTAACCGTTGTCTCACTAGAGCCCACTGACTGTTCACTTAGCCTAGACACAGTATTAAACATGGCTTATCCCAGAACCTTATACCATATCATGGTATGTCATCTGGGAACTTAAAGGGTGCACATACTAAATAATGCATTTATGAATAGTGTTTTATGTTCAATTGTAATATGCATTGTTTTCTGTTGTCTTTACGTTTCCAGGGTGATTCTGTGTTTCTGGGATATTCCATTAGACCATATGTCATTATTTATTTCATTGCTTGACATGTTATGTTGATTTGTTGTCTTTCTCTGTTTTCTCCCATTATTTGCTACCCGTCTTGTTACCATGGTAACATAGCCATTACAATTGGTCGGCTTGGTTTAGTGTGTCCCCAGGAGGTGGCGCCACTGTTGCAGCAGTTCATACGTCAGTGGTGTGTATTTATTTCTCTTGCAACTTTATTTATTAGACATACATACAATTTAATCATGTTTATCTATGTTTGTACAACACACTCAGTTTTATATACATATACCATTTATGTTTTTGTACAAGGGCAGAGATGTTCTTTTCATTTAAATTAACAAAATGTTGAGTGTTTTATCATTTCTATAAAATCTTTGTATTATGAGTGCATTCTGCAGTAGTAATGTTGTCAAATGTTGAGTGTAAAGGTTGTTGGATTATAAACCTTTACTTTGTGAATACCTTTATCAAAGCCTACTCCCCAACTTATCCAAACTCTATACATTATATCACTGTGTTCCATTAGGTGTACGTCCCTCCGCAACATTCGGGACAACGATGAGAAGGACTCTGCGTTCCGCGGCATCTGTCTGATGATTGGAGTGAATCCTGGTGGAATCGTACAAGATTTCATTTTCTTTTGTGATGCTGTTGCATCCTGGGTAAACCCGAAGCCTGATTTGAAAGAAATGTTTTACAAGGTACGCAAAATTGCGATCAGATCTAATACCTTACATTAAAGTTTGGATCAAACCTGTTTTAAACCTGTAAAATGATTATCCATCATAATTTGTTAATTAGAGCATATTTGGCTTGTCATGATGATACTTCTCTACCTAATGAGACTCTGTGTCTTTGATACTGTATTCGTACTCTGAACAATGCCACCTTACATGCTCAACTTTACACTTCTTGCAATCTGATCTTAGTTTCAGCTTTTCTTCTTCCTTATTGTAGATTCTTCATGGCTTTAAGAACCAAGTAGGAGAGGAAAACTGGAAGAGATTTTCCGACCAGTTTCCGCTGCCACTCCGGGAGAGGCTGGCCACGCACTATGGAGTCTGAACCTGGGTGGGAGGTGAGGAGCATTTAATATATTCCTTGAACTATATTTCATTATTAGTTTCTCTTTAAATGGATTGTGATTGTAATAAGAAAGAAGAAAATGAAAGATCTTTTCAGAAAATGGTGTATTTAGAGTTAAATAATGTAAATATTGTGAATCAAATGAATAAAATCTAAAAACTTCAGGTATTGGAAGCATTGATGTCCGAGCAGTTTTAAGCCATTGCATATAATTGTGTATTATTCTTATTTCAGGCTGGGGACCAAGGGTTATGCTGTCACCTGGGAGGGAGGCTCACATCGCCTACCTGGGAGGGGGGCTCATATTGCCTACCTGGGAGGGGGGCTCATATTGCCTACCTGGGAGGGAGGCTCATATTGCCTACCTGGGAGGGAGGCTCATATTGCCTACCTGGGAGGGAGGCTCATATTGCCTACCTGGGAGGGGGGCTAACATTGCCTACCTGGGAGGAGGCTCACATCGCCTACCTGGGAGGGGGGCTCATATTGCCTACCTGGGAGGGGGCTCACATTGCCACCTTGGGAAGGAGGCTCACATTGCCACCTTGGGAAGGGAGGTCTCATTAGGTCACCAAAGGTAGGCCACATTGCCACCTTGGGAGGGAGGTCTCATTAGGTCACCAAAGGTAGGTTACATTGCCACCTTGGGAGGGAGGTCTCATTAGGTCACCAAAGGTAGGCCACATTTCCACACCTAGGGGGAGGTCTCATTAGGTCACCAAAGGTAGGCCACATTGCCACCTTGGGAGGGAGGTCTCATTAGGTCACCAAAGGTAGGCCACATTGCCACCTTGGGAGGGAGGTCTCATTAGGTCACCAAAGGTAGGCCACATTGCCACCTTGGGAAGGGAGGTCTCATTAGGTCACCAAAGGTAGGCCACATTGCCACCTTGGGAGGGAGGTCTCATTAGGTCACCAAAGGCAGGCCACATTGCCACCTTGGGAGGGAGGTCTCATTAGGTCACCAAAGGCAGGCCACATTGCCACCTTGGGAGGGAGGTCTCATTAGGTCACCAAAGGCAGGCCACATTGCCACCTTGGGAGGGAGGTCTCATTAGGTCACCAAAGGCAGGCCACATTGCCACCTTGGGAAGGGAGGTCTCATTAGGTCACCAAAGGGAGTCCACATTGCCACCTTGGGAGGGAGGTCTCATTAGGTCACCAAAGGTAGGCCACATTCTCACACCTAGGGGGAGGCTAAATTTGAACCAGTGAGACCAATTAGGGTCGGGAGGCCCACACTAATATAATGGGAGGATGTTATTCCCAAATAAATACAAGTGCCAAGGACAAGACATGAACAATGAACAAGATGGTGTCACAGCTATCAAACTGTCTTGGATATGGACTCACACGATGTAAATCTTGAGATTTTTACTGAACAAGAATGGACAAGCAGTCATATGACTGTCCTTGATTACTAGCCAGCATCAAATCAGGCTGTCAATCAAACAAGGGGAGGAGTTAAAGGAACTGATCAATCACAGGATGTCAAAAATACAACACAAAGGGAGGCATCAAAAGGGACTTTTTAATGTTCAATTCAAATTTCAAAAAGCAGCAGTAACAAAAGTTGATGAAAAAGTAGTTAGATAACTAACCCCATATAGTAGATAAGACTAACCTAGACTCGGGAATATAGCATAGGTGTAACATTATAGACCTCTGCTACATTCTCTGATCATATCTTACATAAAATATATATCCTAAATAATATCAATGTAGTAAATAGTATTCATGGAAAGTTAAAGGAAACTGAATTATTGAATCAACATTAATGGTAATTCAAAACTTTGATTGTTAAAATTTTGTGCAGGCAAAGAAAAATGTAATTTGCTGTTCCAAGTGCTTTGATAATTTAAGACATTGTATATCAGAATGATCATTTGCAGAATAACTTATCTTTAGCTTATTTGGTCTTCTAAATGATGTCAAAGATGTTTCCTGTACTGAAGCTATTATAATGATGCTTCTATGCATGTTTTATTGTTGAATGTGGTGTTGAATGTCCAATCATTCAGACATTTAAAAAACAATAATTCACAGAGTTAGCAAGACAACAAAGCTGCTAGTGCAAACACATGAATAAGTAAGAAATTGAGGAATCTATGCAGTTACTATAGTAACATGGCATGTCATGATAATATAATATATGTGAACCTGAATATGGTGAGATGTTTTCATTAAACATCCATGGTTCTAAAACATATGGTCCTACCATCAAATGTCATTTACAGTTTAATAATTAAACAAGTGCGTTTATTCTTAATTCATGTTCTATTATGTCACCACCAAAAGTTGTGACATATTGTAATGTCACCACAAAACGTGGTGACATATTGTTATGGTCTCCACTTTTTGTGATGGCAGTTGGCATTGGTATCCATTACAAATGGCAGGTGGTGACACTGTGCATTTTAATGCCTTGTTTTAATTTGCAACTTAATGATGTAGCCTAAGATTAAGAAACTTGAAATGGTGAAAGTGTCAAATTCGAAAAGTATCTGGTGCTTATGTTAAATATACCTAATATTGTATTCTAATTAAAACAATTGACAAAATGTCATTGATCAACAAATGTATGTACATTTCTGGAAGCATTCATAATAAGTCACCAGTTTTTGATTTCAATTCTGAATGATATTTGTACTTCAGCATTGGAATTAACTAGTAATAGTAATAAACTTACAAATAATTGTGTTATATAGTGAAGAAATCAGTCCACACACATAATTTTGTAGTTTCTACCATTTTGTTAAAAGAGATGAGGATTTTTGGACCTAATTGTCAATTTTCAACCCAAGGAGATTCTGTACATAGCAGAATCATTGACTGATATGTAAACACAAAATTAGATTCCTGTTTCTCTGGGACATACTTGAGTTCACTGTCATAATACTGTATATCAATGACTGTTTTTAAGTCTTTCAGAATAGCAAATTCTAAGTAAGAAAACATATTATATTTAAACCAGCCAAACAAGTTAATTCTTGCGCTTTCTTTGTAAGAATGCAATGTTTTTTCACCCGCGGGCGGGGGGTTCAAATCAGGGACGTTATACCATTATTTTTTACACAAATATCAAATGTCAGTCATGTTATTTTAAGCTGCATTTTCTGTCCTTGTGAATATGTTATCTGGTACAATAGAAGTTTCAGACTAAAGAAATCCACACGATATTGGCTGCCATGACATAGTGAATTTCCTACCTTATTCTGAGACCATATTTTACCAGAAAGCATATGCGTTAAGACTATAAATACTATATGTGTATATAATACTAGATAATGTGGATAAATTGAGTTGTATTACTTGCAGTATTTTAATGTTCACAATTACACCAAGTAAACACTTGTAATGTATTTCATCATGTGTGTGCAATACTGTCTCGTCTCATCATCTTCCAAGTTTTCTCATGTTAATATGTGATCGGTTCATGTTTTATTTAGTTCATTTTATGTTTTAGTTATATGCTGTACAATGTACAAGCTATTAACATTGTGTTCTTATAAAGACAGCCAAAGCGTCGTCTTTGTTTATGTTCTGTTTTCTTATCATTCATTGCATTCGAACATTTCAGTTTTGTGTGATTCAGGAATCTGGATGTCCAAATCTTCATTTCCATGAGATATCTTGTTACTGATACAAAAAATGTTTGAATGCAGCATTTTGAATGAATACAACTAAAACTAAGAGTTTTCATCAAAATTGATAATTAATCAACTATATTTGTGTTTGATGATTCAGGATGTACCAAAAATTCATTTAAGGATACATATGAAAAACAGACCATTATGTTACAAGGATGGACCATTAGATTTTGGGGGAATAAACTTTGTCCCATTGACAACGAAATATTTTCTCAGAGCAGAATAATTTAATATCAGATTTCATTAGACAAGAACCAATAGATTCTGGGTTACTTGGCATTTATGAAGGAAGTTTACATCCCCAAGGTATAATGGTCAATCCTTCATCTAAAATGTTTGTTCATTCATGTAATGTAATGATCTTCAAATCATGTTCATTGTACGTCTTCTTTTCTGTTCTGTTATTCAATGTGTGAGAGCAAGAAGAATGAAAGTGTCACGATTTTAAACTAATAATTCTAGAATAAGATAATTATATATATATGTGCGCTAAGACCTGCTGTAGATTTTAGATTTAAGCCTGTAAGTTATTGTTCAACATGTTGGCCTGTATGCTTGTGCATGGAACTAATAAAGCATGATCACTGTATTGAAATCTACATGTTTTGTTGAGTATTGTGTAAAGAGATTTTAATGACCTACATGCACATCAGTACATGAAGAGTTGGTATTTCAAAAATCAGGGGAAGCTACAAAAAGTAAATTGCATTTGGAGATGTGCACAAAACTGATTCGCTATATAATATTAGGGACCACATACATTTTTGTTATGACTCAATTTAATTGAAATTAAGAGGTCTTTTAAGATAAGTTGTTTCGGGGAATTTTACTTCTTTTTCAATTGTAATAAGGAAGTTTTCTTTCAATAAATACCTCCCCACAATATCAGATCTGTCAACCAGTGTTTTGAGTTGTTGCCTTAATCATGGGCTTTCAAGATGCCTAAATGGGATGCTTCACTATGTCCCTTTGTTTTTGTGTTTCGGTACAAGTCCAGTGTCTAGGTAAGCATTCAGAATAAGAGTTGAACTTATTAAAACATGAATTATATTTATTAAACTAAAAATATATTATACAATGTGTAAAACTAGAAGTGATGTTCAGATCTTTTAATAAAATATCCGAAGTATGATTGAGAAAAGTGAAAATCACTACTCAATATAAATAAAATATATTGTAAAATGAGTAAATGGCATCACAGTGGCAAGATGATCTGAAAGCCAACCAGCAGCTAGCAGATCGAGCAATTCAGTGAGATATTACCGGTATGTACAATTTCAGATCTAATACTATGCATTGCATAGTAAGTACAGTAAAACCAATAGAGTGGAACACCTCTGCAGGTGGAGGCGCCTCCATAAAAGGAACACTTATCAAAGTCCCTGTTTTCCCTAAATGAACATCTGTTTTAGCAAGCGAAACACTATTTTGAGCTATGAAAGGTGTTTCACATATAAAGGTTTTGCTATATTTAATGGTACAGATGTTTGTCCTTACAATTTGAATCCTCTGTATCACAAAATAATGAATGATTTCCCATGAGGATATATCACCAATGTTTTTGAACATGTGACATACACTTCAAGGGTGTCTCATTGTAACATGATATTTCTGTAGGGCAAGTCTTCCTCAAACCCCCAGGGTGACATTTGGAGGCTTTTACTTTGACTGACCTCTCTCCAGATGTCATGTATAATTTGAATAAAGCTATAATACTTTTGGCTCGGATTGCAGGCTCATGATTGAACTAGTATTTATGCACTAACATTTGGTAACTGATTAT